AATAACCAATTATATTCAATCGCTCGGCAAGCATACCTAGCCGCTTTGCCGTCTTGAACTCGCCCATTGGCTACTGCTCTTCCGTTTTCTGCTTTTCCGCCAAGGTATGAACCCGTCCTTAAGATCAAAGCAATAATATTTAATTTTTATAATTATTATAATTAAACATTTCAGTTTTTATAAATATCATCATATTTAATTTATTATTTGTCCAATATTATAGATTAAAGTACAATAATATATAAGCGTTATAATTAAGTCAGTATGTTATTAACTACAGAATTTGTAATATGGTAAGTATATATCAATTTGTATGATATTTTTATGCGCTTAAATAAAAAATTATATCTGGTGAATATATATTATTATGACGAATTACACCTGTACTTATCAAACTAAAAATATTAATTTTTAATACTCTGCAGCCACAGATACAATCCGTTCGAGGGCTTGCTCCATTTCAATGTTTGGTTGAATAGATAAAACCTTGTAGAAGGTGCGCGGAAAGACAAAAGTCGGTCCGAGAATATACAGACGAACGTCACATTTTTCTAACAGATATAGCCATTTTAATTCACTGCGCTTTTCTACTGTCATTGTCTGCAATTATATATTTAATATATATAAAATTAATTTAATATATATAAAAATGGAATCTATTAATATTGTATATGTATACACAGGGAGGTCCATTTAAATCGAACATCTTGAATATTTCGCTTATTTTGATGATACAAAAAGATTTCAAACGAAAGTGGAACGGTTTCGAGGGAGATTTTAATTACGTTGTTTTTTTTCCAAGTGGAGGCGCCAAAATTCCATTAAAATTAAATATTACGCAGGTAACTAAATGTCACGCAAAATTAAAAATAAATGTTGGTAGTATTTCTATCAACATGATTTAATTGAATTGATTCAGTTATTTCAACGTAGATGGTTGACATAAACAAACATAAACAAACTATCATTTGTTGTTGCAACTAAACAATGATTGAATGAATCATTGAAAAAATCAACTATACAAATTTTGTCCATATAACCAAATTTGTTTTTCAGTGCAGAACAAAGTATAAAATATCTCGTGAATTATATATTATGGTTTTTTGGTATCTGTACCTTAATATCTTTATATGCAAAATAATTAAAGGTACCATGTTATCTAAAAAAAAATCATATAATTTCATTTAAAAAAAAATGGAGGTGACCTTCATCATATCTTTTTGGTGCCCTTACTTGAAAAAAAAAACGTGATCAAAATACGCGTCCCTCTCGAAATCGTTCCACTTATGTTTGAAACATTTTTTTTTGTATCGTGAAAAATAAGCGAAATATTCAAGATGTTCGATTTAAGTGGACCATCCTTTAACCTTAATATGGAGTAATGGAGTACCTGAAATTCGTCAATTGTGCAGCCCAAGACACGCTCCGCGATGTTATCGGTTAAACGACATCCGATAAGATATCCGGTGTCGTCTTTCAAATTTATTTTTACATTAAACTTTACAGTATTCAATGGTGTTCGCATTCCGTTGCCAGACGGACAATTTAAATTCATACAAGACTCCTGTACGTCTGCGACGACCTTTTTACATAAAGCACTATGAAATGAAAAAAAAAAGTAATAGTAGTACAATTAATTTTTTAATTAGATAATATAACGTATAAATAAAGAAAGTACCATTTTATAGATAACACATCTTTGAGTGGACCATCCAAATTCATTTCGGTTACCGAAGCCTTCACAATCGTTGCAAATTGCAATCTTTCACCTTCTGCCGTCGCTTTATTTTTTTGTAATTTCTCCGTGATTTGTTGTACTGTCATTACAGTCGTGATAGTCTCTGCTGTTAGTACAAAAATTAATAACAATAATGATAAAATTTGTGTATTGTACTTACAAAAATTAACTGCGTCTAATTTTATCTCTATAAAATACAAGATCAGAGAACGACATATAATATATTATTTTAAACAAGATTAGGGAGAGACTTATTCTTTATTGTTATTATGTTTATATTATTAGATCTACAACTTAATTCTCGATCCCTATATCCAATGGACTACAGCACTTATTCAAATTTGAATCTTTTTCTTGCCATAGAAATTGTTTTCCTTATAGCGTTATCCTTAGGTGTTAAAATAAGGTATAATATAATAGGTGCTATGAATTTAAGCTCAAAAAATTAATAATGAAAACTGTATGTCGCTCGAAAAACAGAATTTGAGGCACTGCCTCTTTTTCGCGTTCCAGCTAAAAAACAATGTCACGGAAACTCACGAAATGATTTACTCGGGTTTAGGTGAAAACTTTGTCCTATAATATATTTAAAAAATGGTTCTAAAGATTTTGTGATGGCAATTTTAATTTGGAAAATGAAGAACGCTCAGATCAATCGAAGAAATTGGAGAACGAGAAATTGGAATAGCTTTTGAACGAAAATCCTTGTCAAATGCAATTACAGCTTGCGAATGTACTTGCGGTAAACCAACAAACCATTTCGAAATGTTTGCAAAAACTTGGTAGGATTCAAAAAGAGGATTGTTGGGTTCCATATAGTATATAACGCCTGAAAACAAGGAGAGACGTCACAATACGGCCATCTTCTTGTTGTCGAGATTTAAAAAACAAAAGACTTTCATACAAAATACTGACTTGTGATGAAAAATGGGTTCTGTATGATAATTCGAAGAAAGGAAAATCTTGGGTTCATCCAGGTCAACCATCGATTGTAAAACGAAATAATGGTCACGTTCAGCAAACTCAACTGTTGCGGAGCGGATCCGTGAGCGCTCGCTGCTATTGGTATATTGTTTTAAATCATTTAATAGCAGTGAGCGCTCACGGATCCGTTCCACAACAGTTGAGTTGGCTGAACGCGACCATTTACAGCAAAAAGGTATTGCTGTGTATTTGATCGGATGTGTGAGAAGAGCGTTGTTTACTATGAACTGCTCCTGGGAAAATGGTCATTGCTGAGCGTTATAAATAGCAACTGATTCGAGTAAGTGACGCCCTTGAAGTAAAAATAAGATCATTTACTGACGCTAGAAGAAGGAAAGTAATTTTGTTGCAAAACAATGCGCGCGCGCAGCCGCACATCGCAAAATCAACGATATAGAAGTAATCTCCGATTTGGGCTGGGAAATTCTCCCTCATGTGGCGTATTCTTCGGACCTAGCATCTATAACGGATTACCATTTTTTCCGGGCTCTTCCGAAAGTCGAAAGAAGAATCATAAAATTCATCAACTCAATGCATCTTTTTTCCGAAGCGGAATCCGACAGTTGCCTGAAAGATGGCAAAAATGTACGTAGAAATAAAGTAAAAAGGGGATTACTTGAAAAATTAAGTTAATATTCGATTTTTTTTATAATTTTACATCGAAACTTGTTAAAAAAGCTCGAGAATATTAAATTGTAGATCTAATATTTAAAAACATTTTTTAAGCAAATAGTATTCTTACGATTTGGTGTAGCAAACGGATCGCTGCACATGGAGTCAGGATCATAATGCTGCACGGCGTTCATAACATCTGCAGCTTGAGGTATATTCAGACACTCCGTGATTAATGTTCGTTTTGCTGCGTGAAATAAAAATAATATACGAATATATAAATAATTCGCAATATATTAGAATAAAATTAAATGTTTTAACGCGAATTTCTTTGCTCGTAAACCTTTTCTCTCTTTATTATAAATAATTCTTTTTATAGTCGTTTAATGCATTTATGCAACATCGCGAAACTAATGCAAAAGAATTTGTAAACATATATATGTATCACCATTTCATAAATTGTTGCTTAAACAATTTAAAAGAGAATGGTTTTGTATTCTGTAGAATATTTTTAAGGGCATCGAGACACAATAATTTATTATATAACACTATATCTACGAATATTTGAAATTAAATTTTGTATATTCTGCAGATTTTCGTAAAGTTCTTATCCGACATATCAATGATATATTTTTTCCAAAGAGATTCTAAAATAATCAATTTTCATAGTGAAAATTGATTGACGATATATTAGTTGACGATATATTAAATTAGTATTGTGACGATAAATTGTGCTAATATAATCAAAATGAAATCTTTAACATACAGATGTTTAAAGTCGTTTTCTTCTTATATTCGTCGTATGCAATGCGAGCATCGATCAAGAATAGTATTGTCTTTTTCGGTTCCCAAAAGGCAGATCTCTCGATCCAGTCCTTATCCCACAACGTCAATGATACAGTATTATCCGTCGATCCATCTGCGACTTCGAAACTGCGACACGTTAAGGATCGTCCATCCCGTGTCATTATATTACGAGCATCAGCAATCTGTAGCACGATTAATCAATAATTAAAAATTGATTTGCAATAAAAATGTTTAAAAAAGTCAACTTCCTCTTTAAACCGTTATTGAGACGACAGTTAGTGAGAAATTTTGGAAACAATTAAATTATAGACAATGATTTTTAATTAAATAAATAATCTATATTCTCAGAGTGTTTTGCGCACACACGCACACAATTTGTTGTAACTTACAAACGTAACGACGACCAGGAGGTCAACGAAGCGATCACACAGAGTGTCTATATTATCTAGAATAGTTTTTAGACTTTTCGCGGAGGTCACATTTTTCACAGGTCGCGTCAGCAGATCTTTGTATTGTTCGCGAGTTGGCGCGTCGTGATTCTGTATTAAGGCTGCACCCTCATTTATAGTTAAGGTAAAAGGGCTGGAGGTCGACGGCATGAATTGCTCGTTCTTATCATTGCGTTTTACGATTTTCGCGCTTATCACTTCCACTGTAAAGTAGATATACTATGGATAATTATTTTTTCTAATAATACTCTACTATAATGAAAAAAACAGTTTAATTACTAGATATGTTAACTGCTATAAAACAATACATTTGTTCTTTGTAATTTATATGGATGATTTATTCCTAAAAATATTCACCTACGGATCCGATGTTAAACGTGGACGATATCTTTTTTACGTATTCCGTGTTGCCCCATACGGTGACATTAATAAAATCTTCCTCGGAGTCGCGCAAAGTAAATGTCCACACGCTACGTTCGCCAGTGTTAACTGTAATTATCAGGAAGATTATAAAAGTAAATTAGTCGACTTGTCCAATAGATTCTCAAATCTAAGGCGACGCGCAATTAATAGAAAATTACATGCATTATCAAAAATGCATATATTTCATATATTGTGTGTAATTCAGATTAAATTAAAGCTTTTTCATTAAAAAAAGAATCGGTTCCTTTGTTTCTAAACTTCATGTATCACGTTTTTAATTCATTGTTTTAAATACAAGGAAATGAAGAAATTAAGAACAGCGGAATTACGTACACTTGGCTCGAGAGGCGACAAACGTTTTCACATTCATGCTGTTTATAATCACGCCGATTATGAAGGTGTTCGGTGAGCCATCCTGTAGCGATTTTATTTCCTGCCTGTATAGAAAGGACATAATGTTCGATTAATACGCGACGCGTCGTCAATTCAACGTAAATCAAAGTAGAAAACAGAAGCGAATTGTTCGCGTTCGTGCACGCGTGTAGTTTGAAGTGCGAGCCGAATGCCTATAATAATCATACCACGAATTCCACGATTGCGGTCGAATCTCGCCACACTAAATTTTGCTAAATTCAGAGCGCACATCGATGTCCAATAAAAAACGCTGATTTTTCGAAAAATGTGTCTATAATATCTACGCTTCTGTCTATATCTATAATATATAGATTAACTTTAAAATCTCGGTTTATTTTACCCTGTCTTTTTTATTTCTAAAAATTAGAAAAATATAAACAATAAGATAAAACGAAATTTAATTTAAATCTACACTGGTTGAAACAAATATAAAGCTATAGTATACATAGGCTAGTATTCATCTTAGTTCTTATATTTAAGAGAGAGAGAAAGGCCGTCTTAAGTCAGTCTTAAAGTGATTGAACCAATCACAAAGCCGTTTAAGACGTTACTTCAGATAGTCATGAAATAAGAACAGTCTGAATATCGATCAGAGTCTGATATTATATGTATAAGAACGTCTCCAGAGTACGATTTCAAGTTGCTACATAATTATTTTATATCGGCGCATATAACCCGGGTGGTGCTACTTTTATGAGAATAACGGCGCATATTTAATCTAACTTCAAATTTAAGAAATTATTTTAAATTGTGTGTGAATTAAATTACATTACGTTAAATTAAATTACTTGACTCTTATTCGCCCTATTTAACGTGTTAATTATTATTATATAAAAGAGTCCTTCAAATCTTCAATTCATATATAATTAATATAAATAATATAGTAATAAAATCTTCCAGTTTATTATTAGGGTCATTTTAAGATCTTATAGGAGATTACTTTAATTTAATTTAAGTTAAAATAATTTAACGTAATATAATATAATATAATATAGTTTAATTTAATTTTTAAAATGATTTTTTAAATTTAAGATCGGAAAACACCGTTCCTAAAAGCAGCATCATTGGACTACACATCGAATCTGAGATTGAAACTTGAATCTAATCGGACAAAGAACCGATTTCTGCAGTTCTATTCAAACACGTTTCTGATTGGTCTCTGTCTCGCTCCAATTTTTAAAGCGTCACTAATTTTTAAATGTCACACGATATTATATCCTTACGGTAGACCGTAGAGACGAGGATTGGTGTCCCTGACGGCGTGGCGATGACAACACACGTCGTCGGTCACAACCAGTCACGACGCCCTCGGTCTCGCTTACTCGTTTCTCTCCGGAGTCTAGTGACGTCCAGTGCAGTCCAGTGACGTTGCGAGCAGTCGCGAGCAGTCGCAACGTCGCAAACATCTCGAGGAGTGAAGGGGGGGGGGAGACGTGGCGGTGAGATCAGGTGAAATCTATCGAGTTGCAGCTTTATGTTCTGTGGTTGCAGTTGATGAATCGGAAAGCTTGAGAGGGTGTCGTATTCGGGGGAAGGAAAGAAACAATCGACGCGACATCATCGTCAATCATCGTCGAGATGGCTGACAACGAGCAGAAGGCCTTACAACTGGTGGCGGAGGCCGAGAGGAAGTTGTCGTCGTCGAAGGGCTTTTTCGGCACTCTATTCGGGTGAGACGATCGATTTGCTACTTGAACTCGCCCGATCGCGAGCGCATGAATCTCCTTCACGCACCCTTGCGCAATCCTGCGTCGTTTGATCTCGCTGCCGTACGATGTCCTTAATTGCCGTGTATTATGACTCCGTTTCTGCGTCCGAAGTCGGGCGAACGATCCTCCGTGTGTGCGTACGCCGCCTATGTGTCGATACATGACATCTGTATTTGATGTCGGGTGTAATGAAGACTACGGTGAATTATTACATTCTTCATTATCAATGCTATCGTATTAAACATAAATGAAATAATTTGTCGTATCTTTTGTGTCCTTTGTTGGAAAGTATCTATTGCCATTCGGCACATGTAATTGGATTTCTCAGCAGTACAAGATCATCTGTCTGTATAGTGTTAGGCCAGAAATAGCGACGTCTTTGCTTTTAATTCCTGCATGTATCTAGCATTTCTAGCAGATCGATATAATTTTATTCAAGGATAGCAAAGTCTGTCTAGTCAATATCATTATACTTTAGATTAATAAGTTTGACTTTGCAGGAGTTCATCGAAAGTTGAGGAAGCAGTAGAATGTTACCAACGGGCGGCGAACATGTTCAAGATGGCAAAGAAATGGAGTTCAGCAGGCAAAGCGTTTTACGACGCAGCAGATTTACATTCAAAGGCGGGTAGTCGTCATGATGCGGCTAATAATTACGTAGATGCTGCCAATTGCTTCAAAAAGTCTGATACAAACGGTAATTTATAAAACTAAAAGTATTTTTAAGCAAAACAAATATAGATGACATAGTATAACATAAGATTTGTTCTTTATCGCTGCACTGGACTGCACTGAAACTTTCTATAATTTCTATCTCTCTTTCACCAAATTTAAAAAATATATCTATTTCAAATAAAACAGGTGTATACTAGTTTAGTCACAGAGAACAGGATCATTATATTTCTTGTTGTTTGTCATTGTTGAACAAATAGTGAATCAATTACTAGCATTATACTAAATTAGTATATGTTAAAAACCTGCTATACTGAAATTAGTAAAGTAAATGTATTAGCATATGAATATTTTAAACAATGATATGTCCAATAACATTATCATATTATTTAATAAATTATACAAATATTATATTTCATTGTTAAAGTTGATTATATTATTTGCTATATTTAAATACTTTATATGAAGCAGTTTTTTTCCATGTATACTTATATAGTACAAGCAACTAAATCAAAAGATAAAATAATTCACATATTATTATTTCATTTTCAGAGGCAATCAGTTGCCTGTTGAAAGCTATTGAGATTTATACTGACATGGGTCGTTTTACGATGGCAGCTAAACATCATCAAAGTATAGCCGAAATCTACGAAAGCGAAGCAGTTGATTTGGAGCGCGCGGTACATCATTATGAGCAAGCTGCGGACTACTTCCGTGGTGAGGAAAGTAACTCCTCTGCAAACAAGTGTCTTCTAAAAGTTGCGCAGTATGCCGCGCAACTTGAGAATTACGATAAAGCCATTCAGATCTATGAGCAGGTAAAGATATTCAATACATGTGGCAGTTATAATTATTAAAAATTTTTTTTATTTGATACATAAATTATTGATGTGAATGTATATGTTTAAATTTTATCGATTTATTTTACAGGTCGCTTCTGCGTCATTAGAAAGTTCTTTACTAAAATATAGCGCCAAGGAATACTTCTTTCGCGCTGCATTATGTCACTTGTGTGTGGATTCGTTAAATGCTCAACATGCGATTGAGCGTTATCAGGAACAGTATCCTGCTTTTCAAGACGCTAGAGAATACAAACTGATAAAGGTATGTTTTCACGCTAAATTTGTCTAATAACTTTTGTTTTTTTAAAATATACTTTTTGATAATTTGAATATTATACATCTATAGACATTGATAGAGCATTTGGAGGATCAGAATCTAGAAGGTTACACAGAAGCAGTGAAGGAATATGATTCAATTTCAAGATTGGATCAGTGGTATACAACAGTATTGTTACGTATAAAAAAGCAAATTAACGATAATCCGGATTTGCGCTGATCAGTTGTTTCCTATTTGTGTTATCTTCTGGCAACGACATTATTTTCAGACCATGCGTATTTCTTATTGAGCCACGCTCTACTTTCAGTAGAAACAATAAAGTAATTTTGTTTTTATATCCGGATGTGTAATCGCCCATATTATATTGCTCCCTCGTGCTTTCAACAATTTTTGTTATTTATCTCTTTGTATCTTTTAAATCATTAAGAATATTCATGAAATCGTGGAGAATCACGATATGCAAGAATGTGAGAGACGATTATTTCAAACGTCGTAATTCTCATGATTATTTTTTATTAATATATAATAATGAAATGTATACACAGCCTTATCTTATTAGATATATTGGCGAATATTATACTGAGAATATTGTGGTTTTTGTTACAAAATAATAACCTAGAAAGTCTTCTCTTGTGTACTTTGTATATCTTACTTTCTTTTGAAAAAGATCGATATTCTTACTATGAATTGCAAGATTATTATAGACTTTAGGTTTAAAAGTCTATCAGAATAACAAATTACAAAGAACATATTGGATCGATAAATTTCTTATTTATTCTTTCTTGTTTTATCATAATTTTAACAAATGTTTTTTTCTTTAATTTAATAGAGCAAGAGGAGCAAGTTTTGTACATTATTATTTGAATGTATATAATATGTATTTATTGAAAAACATTTCTTCGTTTCTTTAAAATGTAATACAAACTTTAATAAGATTTCACTTCTTGATTTTTTTCCTTTTTTTTCAATATTATACGGCGAAAAAATTATCAAATATAACCGTCATCATTTGTCACTCTTGCACTGCCAAAATATTTAGGTAACGAAATAGTGTACACCTAATTGGTACAATTCACGATTTTCTCTTGGTTCTCTCCTCCTCGCTCTGACCTTTTCTGTCTTGCATTCGTCTGATTTAGAAATACGGCTGCTACTTGTATAAGTTTACAGCTTTAAGTTGAGCAATACTATTAACGTAACATGCTACATATTCCTTCCCAATATCGAACTAAAGAAACACGTCGATATATTATACAATGTTTTCTGCAATAATGTAGTATGGTATCTGTAATCTAATTAGTACTTATCGCCTATGGATAAGCGTACTCTTACAGGAAAAAAAAAGAAATAAACGGATAGGGAACATGATCGCGAAGTGCATTTACAATTAGAATATCATAATTATTGTATTAAAATTTGAGTAATACAAATATTTCTATACACTCTTTTCATATTACTTTACGATGTTACCGCAATTCGTTTCTAGATGTATTAGTTTATAATCAGTACAATTGCTAATTTTACAGTACATTACAAATATCGTTTTATTTCACTTCAATATTTATAGGAAATTTAGAACATTAATATTAAATTGCAAAAATTTTGGATTATTGTCATAACAGCAAAGCATAAATCTATACTTTAGTGGACATTTGAAAATTGATTTAACAACGGTCGTGTTAATCTTCGCGTTTTATATAAGAGCATCGTATATAATATAAATAATTAAATAATATGTATATTGATATATACATTTCAATGATACAATTCCGCTGTTAACTAGGAATAGAAAGAATTATATGCATGCACGCGATTAACGAAACATGCACTTAGCGTAAGCATATGTATACTTATTTGAAAAAGAGGAAGAAATGAGGTCACACGTATATAATAAAATTTTTGAACTCTCCATACCTAACGCAACCTAACGTAAATTGTTTTCCGGAAGAAACGCGATGAAAACCAAGTGATATATCCGTGAATTTTTATTCAATTCTAATTCGAAAGTCTATGTAATAAGAAAAGATGATTTGTTTTGTTTATGACGTTTTTCGATGTTGCTCGCACTATCATTATCTTGTAATCTACCTTGTTTAATTTACAGCTGTTAATGCAATTTACATTCCACCTTTTGCCTAACGTTGCATGTTGCTTACAATTAGACAGGGTTTATTAAATAGCGATGCACATTATTCTGTGTTTTTTCTTACAATCTTGTACGAGGCGAGCCTGTAAATAACAAAGATCGCATCGACGTTTATCTTCTGTCATTATTTCTTGTACAGTTAATTTAATAATGTTATATGCGCTACCATACGTATCTTTAAGGAAATACACATTTATTTATAGCCTGTTTCTTTGGAATAACTCGAATTGATGTAAAGCTATAGAAAGCTAAAATGCCATGGTTTATATTGTGCAAAAGTAATTATACTTGATTGTTATGTATTAATAGAATGAATTTATAGACAGGATTATGTCGTATATATGTTTTATATATTTTACAGTACGTTATAAAAAGTTTATTTCTCTTATTACTTGTATTTATATATTGGAATGTATTGTTAAAATTTTCTTTTTGTCAATTCTAGTTAAATAGAGCGATATCGCACACAAACGGAGTTTTGTATAATTTGTAACTATAAACGTGTTGTCACATTTTGTGTTTACTTTTTTTAAAATATAAAACATTAATTTATTTACTTGTACGTACACACACACACACACATATATATGTATATCTTTAAATTTTTTTATTTGTATTTGTTACATAAATGAATAATGAATTTAATTTTAATTGTAATACTAGAATGTATAACCAGCTGATACTAACGTTCAGTATACATTCTACTAAGAAATAAAGTATATACGTAGCGATTAAATTTTGTTCAAGATAACATATTTAAAAATCTATATAGAGCTTTATTGTTAGAAAATAATACGCCTAATGATTACTTCTAATTCGAAAGATATTACTTCTATAGAAAGAAAAGAAATATGCTATTACAAAGAAAATATCATATTTATACGCGATATATATTCTGAAAAGATATTAAGATAGTTGATTTTAATTTTAAAATATGCTAGAATAATTAAATGTATCGTTTTAGACTTATAATGACGGTAATTTTCAAATAAATATAGTATAAATATAATCTAATTTAGTTATATAAATTTTATTAGAAAATTTTATATCGAAATATTTACTCCTTTTTACAAATATTATTTAACAAATGGTAATGACGAGAAATAAAACATTTTATCAAATTATATCTTATTGCCAATGCTCATTATTTACAAACTTATAAAATAGATACAAAAGAATGTTAATTTATTTCAATGGCACATGTGCATATATAAATCAAATTATGCGCAAGAATAAATTGAACTTTTTTCGAAGAGTTTTGGAATGGCAAAGAAATGGAATAAGTTTTTAAAAAAGTTTTGGAACTGAAATAGCAAACTTTCGGTGAGTTTAGACCGATATTCATAAGTTGATTCTTATAGTAGGTCTGTTTGCATTGTTTGCATTTTTTGCAGTCAGCATCTCTTTTTAACGCTCTAATATATATTTATTTCATTTTAAGTTTAAATTTTTTTGGGGATTAAGCGAACAGACCAATTCAAAGAACACGTATACAAAATTTTTAATTAAAGTTGTAACTCGTAAGGTTTCAAGCAAATTCATCAATCTTAAGGCCTTCTACTACAATAAGCCGTTACCTAAGTTTTAAGTATTTCGATTATTCTTCTCACATTCGATTGTGATTGGTAAATTTCTTATGATTTAAAGCCGTAATCACACTACGGGTTGCGCGCTCTGTTGCGATTGAGATTATGGTTGAATGTTAGAAACTAACCAATCAGAACAGAGCATGCTCTCTCTGGTGAACAGGCTCTTACCAACGCTGATTAAACGCCGACCAATCGCGTCTGTCGTCAAAACTAAATGATAAATGCGATTGGTCAATTCCAATGGACTAATCGTCGATTAAGTTAATCGGCGTTGGTAACAGTCGCCCTTAAAACTTAAGTAGTAATGGCTTATTGTAGAAAGCCCATTAAATAAGAATTGCGACCTTGCGTTTTAAAACACTCAACTATGATTGGTCAATATGCTTACGGTTTTACTTTTACGACAATTGTGTTGTATGTATGTAGTATGTACTGCTTCAACTATGATTGGTCAATATGCTTACGGTTTTACTTTTACGACAATTGTGTTGTATGTATGTACTGTACATACACATACGTGTGATGGCCTTGAGCTATTTTAAGTATATATAATCTTAAGTCCGGATCTTACGACTTAAAGCCTTAAATCGTAAGAAACTGACCATAATTACACTCAAATACAAGGAGAATAATCGACTGTCCATTTCTTATGGCATAAGCATGAAGGAAGATATAAGGAGACTCCACTCGCCAGTCTACAAGACATGAACCCATTTTAGGTTTCGAGTTCCGTTTCCGATTCTCGACACTCGCAGCGCTCGTGAATTTAGTAGTGCTGCGCATAATGAGTGCGAGTAAGAGAAATGATCATTTCTCTTACTCGCACTCATCAGAATCGGAAGCTGAACTCGAAACCTAAAATGGGTCCACTTTTATTTTACGGAGTGGAGTCTCCTTATATCTTACTTCCTGGGCATAAGATTTAAAAATCTATTGTAAATCTGGACTAAAATGCTATGAACCAATCAAACATCCGTAATCTACAATAGATGTCTTAAACCTTAAGCCGTAAGAAATTGACCTATTACAGTCGAATGCGAAGAGAATAGTTAACTGTGATTCGTCCATTTCTTATGGCTTAAGCTTGAAAATGTATTGTAGATTGTAGATCTGGGCTTAAGCCTGTTGATTGGTTGTAGGACAGATTCGAGAATCTTTCACCGTGGACATGGGACTTTATAGGTTTGTTTTTTTATTGCTGCACTCTTCAAACGGTACTACAATAAATTGAAGTGAAACAAATATATGTTTGTTTCACTTCAACTTATTGCACCATGTGCACCAGTTCAGAAAGTGTAGCAACAAAAAACAGATCTAATAAAAAATTATAAACGTGTAGTTTGCAACTGTCCCACAAGAGGTCTCTATTGAAAAATTCAAATGTTTAAAATGCGAGGGAAACGGGAAACATGTCGTGTCAGTTACGACAGTTATTCAGTTACAGAGATTTCGGACCAGCTGGTATCGTGAAGATTGAATACCGACGTTCATGTTTTATATTTAATGTAAGTAAATGATACTTTTGTGATGTTACTTTTATGAAAAATTTTGGACACTGATAAATGCCTAAATGATTCTTAATTCTATCATTTTCTTTTTTAACAATAACTTTTACTCAGATAGGGTAAAGTGTACAGTGATTGACTACTTAAGTGCTAAAATTTGATATAATCACTGTAATCACTATTAAAATTTGAATTTGATGTAAAGTAAACGTTAAATAAGGTTCAAAGAATATGTTTAAATACAAAAAATTTTGAATAAAACCATGTGTTTCATTTTTTCCAACAGTAGAAACTTTTATTTTAAAAAATGACAGCTGTTGACCACAAGTTTTTAGTTATTGAATAGAAAAATGACAATGATTGACCATTAGTATAAAAACGATCAAAATGAAGAAAACAAATTCAGAAAATAAAAAGGAGATAAATTTAATAAAATGTTAAAAATATTTTTAAAAAGATTTTCATTAATATTTACAAATTTTACCTACCTGGGTCTTACATAAATTTACTTCATAAAAAACGGACTATAAATTGAATATAGATATTTTATTCATGAAGTTGTAAAAATCAGTTATTACTATGTTGTGAAATTAGCAGTTAATTTGACTTGAATTTCAATATGTAGGCAAATTCATAGCAAATGGTCAATGTATACTTTATCCTACTTTTTAAGTGTGAAATATATTTTGCTCTATAATTTTATAAATGTCACATGTGAATGCTATACTCGTCTGGTTTACATTTAAGACAATTTATATTTGTTATTAAGATACAAACATCTTTATGATTTTGTATTTGTGATTATTGTTAATATCAAAAAGAAAATGTTAATAATTGGACATATATTTAGTAATGATTTTTTTATTGTATTCACAATGGATATTTTTATAATTGACAAGAAATATAGCAATTTTATGCCTTGTATTACATTTTTTACAGTGACTTAGATATTATAATAAATATAACAGATTCAACATCAATTTTATTATATTTTCTGTCTCACTGGATATTCTGTCTATAATGGATTATATGTATAAATATTTACCATCAATTATGCCTGCCGAATTTAAAGAATCTGTTCACAACACGACACGTAAAATGTTGGATCATGTTGGCAACCGGAACAGGAAGTACATATAAATATAAACAATTGTTTTGAATATTAAATCTGTTTTTTTTTTTTAACTAAACTTTTTACACTGTTTATCTCTTTTCTTTTTTCTCTATGTGCAGAGAAAATAAGAAAAGAAAAAACTGTATAAGAAATTTAGCTGTAAAAATAGATGTATTGAAACTATACAGCATATTATGTAAATACAGATTTTATAATAAATAATATCATATATTTTTAAGTACTCTAAATATTTTTACGTTAAATTAATAGTATTAGTCAGTTATGTATGTTGTCATTTTTAATTTTTGGTCATGAAATTCAATAAAATAGAATTTATTAATATTAAATAGTTACCAATGGAGCCTAGATGATTTTGAAATTGGATCACCATTGGGAAGAGGAAAGTTTGGTCGTGTATATTTAGCTAGAGAAAAGACTACTCAGTATATGGTTGCCCTGAAGACATTATATAAGGTTGAATTGATAAAAGGACGTGTGGAAAAGCAAGTAATGCGAGAAATCGAAATACAATCACATTTAAGGTATGCATGTATACTATGTATTAAAAAATGTTTAATATATGTTCTTCATATGAATATCATCTTGTTCACACATGTTTCCAGACATCCACATATTCTTCAACTGTTAACATACTTTCATGATAACAAGAGAATTTATCTAGTATTAGAATTTGCTGCAAGAGGTGAATTGTACAAGGAATTGAAACGCCAACCAAACGAGAGATTCAGCGAGCATTTGTATATATTTATAATCTTAATATACCTACTGTTATGTATAACTGTAATATTATTCAGTATTTTTTCACACAGATCTGCCAAATATACTTACCAAGTAGCTGATGCTTTGGATTATTGTCACAGGAACAATGTGATTCACAGAGATATAAAACCTGAAAATTTGTTACTTACATATAACGGAGATATAAAACTTGCAGACTTTGGTTGGTCTGTACATGCACCGTCCTCAAAGTAAGTGCAAGGTCTGTGTTTTCATTTTTTTTTTTTTTTAAATAGTGCAACGCTTATAATTTAGAAAAAATTATTTATTTAACAAGTTTAATTTTACTTCAAATTTATTACTACCTATTGCTCTCTTATACGGACTTTTGACTGTTTATTAATTTGACTAATACATACAAACTTCCAATTTATATTATTTTGACTATTTCAATATATAACTACAATATCTAAGGAAATGAAGATTGCGTTACTTAATAATAAATTTTGTAAGTTTTTATTATTAATTTGTAATATGTTTATTAATTCGAATTAAAGTGTCTTTATTTAAATGTCAACATTTGGCTCTTGGCCCTTCTTTTATTTTGTACGTTTTATACTTAAAGAGCCTTCTATTATATTAATTTTACTTCGAATTGTTTAAAGTTAAATTGAAATTTATTCTTTCAGACGAGACACATTGTGCGGAACCTTAGATTATTTGCCACCAGAGATGGTAATGGGACAGACTTACGATTTCTATGTTGATCATTGGTGCTTAGGCATTCTTTGTTACGAGTTTCTCACAGGACAGCCGCCTTTCTTAAGTGGCACCACACAAGAAACGTACGCGAAAATAAAAACTATAACTATATACTGGCCAGAACAGGTTAAACCTGCAGCCAAAGATCTTATATCTAAGGTATCATTTAAGCTTCATATATCTTTATATTGGAATTCACATGATAAAAACTCTATATTTATAAAAATATATTTTCGCAGCTAATCAAGAAAAAAAGTTCAGAGCGAATTTCCTTGCCTGATGTTAAAAGACATCCCTGGATCGTAGAACATAAAAATTTACCTAAGTTGAAAGCTTTAAACTAAAAAGGGATTTTATTTATAGGACATTATTTTTTATCGATTTAACAATATATATTTTATCTTCGACGCTTTTATTGTAATCTTTCTTTTTACTTAATTAAATAATAATGATTTAAACTCATGTTACGGCCACTTTAAGTTGATACCCGTGACATCCAATGCGACAATGTCCACTTCAGTATTGAGGAAATCACACAAGTTGGGCTTGGTTCTACCGAAATCTCCGTGCACAAATTCTTTTACATATGTACCAGCTTGCGTTTTGACGTCGAGAACAAAAAACATATCAGTACTTTCTGCGGCAGTGGACAACAATTTTTTTAGTTCATGCGATTTCGCCCAACGCGCACGCATTTTGTAAATTATGCGCGTTCGCGGACTCAATGGTCGCCTGTGCAGCACTCTCAGTGGTGTTCTTTGAATAATTTTAATGTTTTCTAATTTGTTCAGACACTCCAACTGCGGTAAATCACCATTCACGTCTCGACAGACGCACAATGCTCGATAAAATTTTGTTTTAACATTCTCACCTTCCTTAAGCTTCTTCAAATCGAATCTGGAAATATATATATATATATATTCAATACAATTTTCTTATTTAATTGAATTTCTTTTTTTAATCCATTTTTTAAAATTATTTATTCAACGTTATTGTACAAAAATATTTTTATGTAATTTTATATATCACATAATATTATATTTTCTAATCTTATTATTTTAATTAAATTTTTTAAAAGTATACCTTGAGAGAACCTTTAAATTTGCTGTTATTTGAACTTGCTTAGTAGATTGATTGATACTACTGGTTAGACATGTCAATAGTTCATTTGTGATATTCGTCATATGAGGATTTAATAGTTCAATAGCGAATGGTCGGCCACCGTATATGTTTCTGACGTCGACGTCTTCTCTTCCTGACGATAAAAATTTTATCGCTGTGCAAACATAAATATGTCAGCATTTTTGTTGAAAAAAACATAACAACAGCAAATATCAGTTGAAACATACATTCTGCCTTCACCATTTCTGCGATGGGATTGCAGAGTAAGTCTTGCACCGATGTTTCCACTTTTTTCTCGCCGTTTATGAACCACGGAGTCTGGCTGAGTTTTCTGGAAAATTTATTGTAACGTCCTGAAATTTTAAAGTTATAAAGAAATCTGGTGGTGCGTAAAATTGTTAGTTTGATATTACTGAGGTTCACATCGATACCTCCTATAAAAATGCTGTTATGAGAACATAAAATTTCATCAACATAAACGTGCGTTTTCGGTACGATTTGCGAGATCGTAAAATGTTGCATAAGTTGCTCATCTGTTATTTCCATCAGCAAAGTATCAACATTCTTCCTACTAAATTTATTATAATTGCATTTTTTCCTTTTCTGTTTATTATTATCTCCCTTATGTTTATTTATTCTGCAAGTAGAAATTGGAGTTCTCAAGATGCATAAAAAAAAAGCAATTTTCTCTAATCTAGAGAATATATCTTTTATATAATTCATATAATTAATAATATACATACATACATACAGGGTGAGGCATTTAATCAGGTCAGCTGAATAATTCACTTGTTTTTAACAATAGAATGAATAGAAGGAAAAGTGTCAAACAAAAGTTGCTTGGTTTCGAAGGGCACATAATGCAATATCAATTGTTTTGTAGGTGAAGGCATACCAACAAGCAGAAGACACGAAATTATTCGAAGAGTGCCTTGAAACAATTTATTTTTCCATTACATTCAATTATTTTGCATTATTGATCTTGCATAACTTGAATGACCTTCAATTATAGGTCAGGGTATTTATCTTAAAATGCTCTATCAGAATGTAAATAAAAAACATATTTCATTTAAAAAAAAAAACAGATTTGACCTTTGAAATTACTGACATCACATTATGTGCCCCTCGAAACCAAGTAATTTTTGTTTGACTTTTTCTTCTATTGTTAAAAACAAGCGAATTATTCAGATGACCTGTTTTAAATGTTTTACCCTATATATATAACTATACACTTTCAGATAAAATCACACACATTTCTAATCATATGAATTCTTAAAAATATACGTACAATTCTTTAAATATCATTTCGTCGTCAGCATACATTAAAAGGACTTCGATGAGAAAGGGCGATGGTGTTGACAAATCTGCATGTTTTTCTGTAGCTTGTTCAAGTTGAGGAATTATGAATGATTTCCAAATATCTTTGACATTTTGTAATTTTGTTTTAAGAGTATTTAAGATTGATTCATGAATATCCATCTCTTTGGACATGTAAGCATATAATATGTGTTCTCTGAGCTTTACTGACACAGGAACAGTTAATGCACATGTGAAAGTCATACAGTCATAATCTTTTTCCCTTACTTTTTCTGCTATCTGCATACAATTGAAGGAATTAATTAAATGTCAGTAAAGTTAAATAGTAAAATTAAATATGTAAACTTTGTATGTGTTGCGTGTATATATTATTTTTTTTACTTTTGTAACAACGTTCATTTGTGCCTTATCCTGAAGAACTCCTAAGCATGCAATGCAAGTTGTTTTTTCCACAGAAGCATCGTCTTTCACGTCTGTATAATTCAGCTAAAATTAATATCAAAATGTGATTATTTGTGTCAAATCAACTTTATTTACAAAATTATTTATTTGTAATTAATTAAAACATAAAGAATAATATTGGTATTATAAATTTAAACAAATCATTTTTTATTAAGATTAATGTTCGTTATTACTTATTTCTTTTAACATTTCTTACCTGTGCCGCAAATTCGGAAGGTTTGCAATAACATTCTGACATGCGATATCCGACGAAACGAAAACAACATCTCAAACAACAACCTTGAGATTTTAAAAAGTAAAAAATCTTTCTCTCTTCCTCCGTCGTCACGGTATTCATCTTAATGTCAAAATTTAAAAAATTCTTCAATATTGTGACTTACGATACCCAAAACAATATTAAATATTTGTCGGATACTAGTCTTGATTTAATAATCGACGTTTCACTGTCGATTATTGTCTCTGCTATGTGATTATTTATTTATTTGTGGTAATTACATTGAATAAACGAAAATATACGTTATTGCGAAAATACGCAACAAGATATTCACATACTTTATAAATTATTTTATGAAGTAATGAAAATGTGTGAATATCGAAAGACCATTTCTTGAACCGTATAACCTCTCATAACCTCAAAATGTTACTTCACATTTGTGTTTACTCGACAGATTTAAGAAGCATTTATGCAGATCATAACTGTAAACTGTTAAGTGTTAATTTATTGCGTAATCGGTAAATTCAATACAATGATTTATGCAGTTTTATACGTGCTACCACTTATCATAAAAGTTAAATTTGAGTTTACTGTTATATGGCACAGTTACATACATTCAGCAAATCGTTACAAATAAAAGCATAGAAAGCATTATATTGGACTTTACCAGTTATGGCATAAGATTACATTTACATCCTGTATAAATGCTGCTTTAACCTTAAAAAGTCATTTATTTAATTTATATAACCTCGAAACTTGCAAAAATAGTTTTAATAATTGATCAAAGTATCACTGTCCCATCAATAAAACTCAACAATAATTAAGAAATATTAATTTAATTATTTATGTTAAGATTTAAAAAGACGTAATAAAATTTATTTCTCATTCTACTTTTTATGTTTTTGAATGTAATACTAAATTATTCATTTATGTGATTTTATTATTATATTGATGCTATTTAAAAAGATATTGTTAAAAATCAAAATGATCTTTTCCTAAAGATATTAACAGAAACTTATGCACACAACTTTTTTATTTATCTATATTTTTATTTATATTCTATATAAGTTGTCAAAACATCTTACTCATTCCTTTTTTTTTTATCATTTTCCTTTTGATTTTTGGATTATAAAATTTCTTAGAATATATTGACAAATATCCAAATTATTCCACAAATAACATATTTGCGATTTTTACACATAATTCTATTGGCAGACTCTCCAAACTAGGACCCATCAAATTTAATACTAACAAAATGTCTGTGCGCAAAGGCATGACTAATTTGTCTTTAAACCTGAAAAAATTATTTTATAAGAAATATTTTATATATTTATTAAATAGATAAAAAAATAGTATAGGTGTAAATTAGGCAATACACATATAAGCATAAATAGAATAGCTTAGCAGATTATGTCAAATGTTGCATGTCAAAAGATTCAAATCTGAATCCTAGTTTTATTCATTACATATAACAGAAATTTTAATGACAAAAAATTTCAGTGAAAAATAAGGAATGAGTACACTCCAGAAAAAAATTTATAGATTGAGATTAATTAACTTAAGATAATAATTGATAAGCAGTGAATTGAATATACACACAAGATTTTTAGAATATATTAAAAAACATTTTTTTTTTTCAGTTTTATGTGATATATATATATAATTTTTTTCTTTTGTGCATAATCTGCATTTCACTGAAAATATGATACATACAAAACTCGCGCGCGCGCGCACCTGTATCCACATGCACGCACACAATAAATAAAAATTCCAAGATAATCAGCTGATACATTCTAACATGTATACCTTGGAATACAGAAATTCAAATAATAATAGTACATGTACGTAGTACAATAAACAAAATCATGTAATTCATACCTATGTGATATTTCTTTGAGATTCATATATCGTAGACACAAATTATTTGTATATGGATTCACATATTTTAATGTTTGTACAACCATGCTATAAATCTTCATATTTCTTATATGCGAAATTATGTTAAGTACCAATTTATCGCCACAAGTTATTACGATTAACTTTGATCTAATGTGATCTGCATTACGCAATGTTAAATATAGCTCATATACTCCCGTTTCTTTGGACTTCCAATTTTCAGGTATATAAACTAATCTTGTATTTTGTTCCCTGTGTAAGTAACGTGCACATTAATAAATAATCAAAAGCAATAAAATAATACACATATATAATATTTTTACCATTTTGGAGTATCAGAAGCAGACGAAATGCCAAATCCGGACTCTGCCAATAAAACAAGCAGCAAGGCAACAAGATAATCGTGGTGTTTAGCATTTTTATCCAATTGTTCTAACACTGCCCTTAACGATAACGCTATTGTAGAAAACGTACTGTCCTCTGCCAATATCGGCTCGGTTATATTGACTGTTCTGTTCAAGGAACGCAGTTGCTCCATTTTTTTTTATGAAATGACAATAAACTGTTGACTCACGCTTCTTTCCTTTTCCGTCTGCTTTCTTAACCTCGGATCTGCAATAGATTTTTAAGCCTTATGCCAAAAGAAATGGACGAACAGTCAATTATTCTCCTCGTGACTATAATTGGTCAATTTCTTACGGCTTAAGACTTAAAACATCTATTGTAGATCCAGACTAACAAGATCAATGTGATTAAATTGCAATCTACAATATGTGTTTCAGCAATATGCATTGTTTACATTCTACTTGCTGGGTTGTGTCAGGCTGCATACTAATTGATGGGATCAGAGCTTAGCCCAGGTTGAGCCTTGAGCTACTCGTTGTCAGATCAACTCAACTGAGCTATTTTATTTATTTATTTTTATATTATTTGTCGTATGTGTACATATATATGTATGATACATTTTTCGAATGACGATTGATTACTTCAGTTCTATATTTATTTATCTTGAGGTACTACTTTATTGGCTGGCACTTTAAATTCATTGATGAAGATTCGATTACAAAAATATAAGAGCACACTATATATATATATATATATATAAATTATACTTTTACAATTTTATATGTGTGTATATAGTATCTTATATACATATAATTTTAAATATAAGATATAAATTGCCCTAGGTTTGTTTTCTCTTTCTAAAATTTAGAGAGAGAGAAAACGAACTTACTTATTTCTAATGTCACGGTTTTCAAATTTTTTTCTTCGTCATTTTTTTTTCTTGTATTGACGATGCAAAGATTTTTTTGTGGCGCTCCTAGTGGCGATCGGTAGAAGCTTCGCTAGTCGGACACATTGGATAAAACTTATATAATAATAAAATAATGCCATAATTATAAAAAGGAGGGGATCAGTTTTCATCACTTTCCAAAAGATGACAAACTCATTTTTTGGAAAGTGATGAAAACTGATCTCCTTTTTATAATTGGCGCTGTGCCACAGAACAATATGTAGTATATCTTTTTGAATTTACTTTATTATTTTTCATTATAGCAAGTATATAAGTTTATCCAATGTGTCTGAGACTAGCGAAGCTTCTACCGATCGCCACTAGAAACGCCACAGAAAAATCTTTGCATCGCCAATTGCCACGTTGTTCCATACTTCCAATATTTCCATTTGCTTCCATCGAACGAAAAGAATGCGACATGGTGCAGCTAAAACGAACACACCCGCCGTGTCCCAAGCAAGATAAGTAAGGGATCAGTGGGGATCCCGGATCAGTGGGAGAGGAACAGAGAGTCAGAGAGTGCAAGAGAGTGAGGAAAGAGGAAGATCATTCGGAGCACATCACACACCCGCGTCGTAATGCCGTCCGAGCGAGCACCAACATAGCGACGAATAAGTAATTATATGATGTATCAGCACGCACGCGAAGGGCGAAACGTCATACAAGTTGTCACAGACGGTGTCTCGGTTCTAACCTAATTTCATCCGTACCTGTTTTCTGAAGGAATCTCAGGTGGGTTTGTGCTTTCTCGATGTTCTTCAGCGCGCAACAAAAACACACACCGGTCTCTGTTAAGAATAACTGCAATCTTGCACGCGCATTTACTCTTGTCCTTGTGTCATAGAATTAATTTTTTATTTTTCTTGACACTCCTGATCGTTCGATTTAAAGAAGTTACACGTGGAAACGAACGGCGCAATGCGTATGTGGGGTAAAATTAAGATACCGTTAAGTACGATGCTCTGAGACATCGTTGTATTGAAGGGTTTGGAGATCAGTCAATATTTATCTTTTTTTTTCTCCTTATTTTGTATCAATTTGTAGAAGGCAAAGTATAAAAGTTACTTTTGCAAAGGATACTTATATTATCAGAATGTTTGTTCAATGTGTCTGATTTACAACTCTGGTTTTAGCGTTTCTTCTTCTTCTTTATCGATTCCTTGAGATTTTATATATGTTGTGTTTTTTTTTTAGTAGTACTACTGTACATGAAACATGATGTCCAACGGCGTTCAAAATCCGACAAAGCAAATTGAAGATACCTCGATGGAGAATAATGTACATCATTCGGTCTCCACATCATCGCCATCGTCAGCCTTGAATTCTCCGCTCATGAAGCTATCTTCGTACTTCCTGGCAGCCCGACCATGGTCGCTGAGCGCATCGTTGATGCCAACGCTTCTCGGATCAGCGCTTGCATATCGGCTAACAGGCCTGATGAGCTTCAGTTGGATATCATTAATCCTTACTGTGCTTATAGTGTTTTGTGTGCATGGTGCTGGTAATGTAGTGAACACTTATTTTGACTATGTGAAAGGCGTTGATAGTAGGAAAAGCGACGACAGAATACTAGTAGATCATGTATTGTCCAAAGATGAAATGGTAACATTGGGGGCATTCCTATACGCAGCAGGATGTTTAGGATTTGTCTTACTGGCAATTATCTCTCCCGCAAAGATGGAACATCTGGCTCTTGTGTACTTCGGAGGCTTATCTTCTTCCTTTCTCTATACAGGAGGTATAGGATTGAAATATATTGCTCTGGGCGATGTACTTATTTTAGTTATATTCGGTCCAATCTCAGTTTTATTTGCGTTTATGGCGCAAACTGGTTACGTTGAACTAGGAACAATTTATTACGCAATCCCGCTCGCCTTGAATACCGAGGCTATTTTGCATAGCAATAACACGAGAGATATGGAAAGCGACAAGAAAGCAGGAATCGTAACGCTAGCTATTTTAATAGGTCATACCGCATCTCATGTTTTGTATGCTTTTTTACTGTTTACACCATATATAATTCTTATAGTAGTGGCGTTTAGATATTCCCTCTGGTTTGTACTGCCAGTGGTCACTCTGCCGACCGCCTTTGAAATAGAAAAGGACTTTCGCAATCCACATAGAATTCAAAACGTGCCTAAACGGACAGCCGGTTTAAATACGTTTCTAGGTATTTTATATGTTATCGCTTGTTTACTTGTAGGTTCGCTTCCTTATCTATAAATTATTCATGAGACTTTCGCGTATCATCGTCTTGGATTACTCTTTCTATTTCATTAATATATAAATTTCTAATAATAAATTTTTTTTGGTGAGATTTCATCCAGACTTGCAATTAAAAGTATAACTTTTCAGACAAGTGAGAGAAACGTTTGAAACAGGACTTGCTTTACTCATTTTTATATATTTACATATATCAATTATAATACATTAAATATAATTTGCGCGATCTCATAACATAATCCAAATGTGATTGTGTTATTATTTGCAAGGGTAATCCATGACTGACATTTTTGATGAAGTTAGATTTTATCAATATAGATATATATCGGCAGCTTATTGTTAACTAATATTTGATAATTTTAAAATTTCGAAATCTCTAAGCCCTTACAAATTATACCAAATTATATAGCACAAGTAAAAGAAATACATACATGACTCATTTATTGAAGATATTTGTTACATTCGCCTCAAGTACAAATTAATTCACATTAGTTTCAAAATGTTTATCACAAAATTAGGTCTTTGTGATTTGATCTTGAATATTTTATACTGCGTATATATTATCACACATCTTGTAATAAAATATCATTTTTGCGGATATTAGGGTTTGAAAAATGTACATATGATTCCTCGTTTATTTCGTTTTATTTAAAAGTAACTTACATTTTTTATATGAATCCCTCAAAATTAAACTTCTTGAAACACATAGATCTTTTGCGTATTTATTTTAAAATATATTTTAAGAAATCTGTTTGTCAATAGACATTTGTCTACGTTTTATTATAAAAATACTGGTCTATGTAAGCACATTATTTACGTTGTAACTTATGTGTGAAATAATTTTAATATTAACAGAGTGGTACCTCAGAATTACAATGTCATAACAACGGGTATATGTATCTTACATTGCATAATGTTATATTTTCAGTAACATATTGTTATCAACTTAATCATTTATTTTTATTGAATAAATTAAATTTTTTTTTTTCCAAATTCATTCGAATATTTATGCATCGTGACATAGCATACTTCTCTCATAATTTTTAGATACCTATATATAACAATTATGACATCATATTTTGTTTGAAATACTATAAGAGACTCTTATAGTTGTCGTATTTATTTCATAAATAGAGATTAATTAGGAATAAATCAAAAAAGCGCATAGCTGAACTAAATAAAATTATATAACTCGCTTTTATGCGTGGACTTATTTCGATTAAGTGATCAATTAATGATGAAAAATAAAAGAACTGTAAATGTGTTCTGTAACAAAATGAAAAATCTTAGTAAGCAAAAGTCATCATAACATTAATTTACACATTTGCGGTTTTATATAATTATACATTTGAAAATTGTACAATACAAAATTTTTTTACGAAAAATACATCAATTTGTATTATATTCTGTAAATAATGTCATAAAATCTTGTATTATAGCATCATTTGATCTCATTTCATTGATAAATTTTATTAACAGCTTTCTTATAAAATACAATGTATCCTAAATTAAATATATATCTCTCTTTAAAGGTGCATACATCTTTGGATTTTTTGTCTAATAAAATTATATGGTGGAAAGAAGCGGAAATGGAATGAGCAATTATTGAAAACACAAATTAAAGAGATATATATATATATATACACATACATACATACAGGGTGGTCTACTTAAATCGAACAACACTCACACATCTTGAATATTTCGTTTATTTTTAATAATACGAAAAAATGTTTAAAATGAAAATGGAACGGTGTCGAGGGGGACACGTTTTAGTCACGTTTTTTTTTCTAAGTGGAGGCGCTAAAAAGATATGAAGATCACTTCCACTTCTTTAAATGGAATTATGTAATTTTTTTTAGATAACATGATTCTTCTAATTATTTTGCATATAAAAGTATTAAGGTAGAGATACCAAAAAACTAATAGTTTACGAGATATCTTATATTTTATTCTGACAAAAAATTTATTCAAGGAGATGCTCAAAATGATGCCCTCGGACTTCAATACATTTTTGGAGACGATATTTAAATGATTCTCTTGCCCTCTCTGTCATTTCTGAATTTATACTTGCACATGCAGCCAAAATACGCACTTTCATGTTGTCCTGTGTAGTTGGTACATCGTTGTAAATAATGTTTTTTAATGTTCCCCATACAAAAAAGTCCTGAGGATTTAAATCAGGAGAACGTGCAGGCCAATTGATGTGTCCTCTACCTATCCAGTTCCGGAAACATTTCGTGTAAAACTGCACGTGCAACGCGTGCATTATGATTCGGACAGTCGTCATGCTGATACCACATCTACAGTAAGCGAGTTTCTAATGGCATTTTTTCTAATAACTGTGGTAATTGTTGGGACAAAAAATCAGTATATTTTTGGCCATTTAATATACCCTCAATAAAGAAAAGGCCAATGATTCGATTTTGTAAAATACCGCACCATACATTACAGCTCCATGGACGTTGACGTTCCACTTGTCGAAGCTACATTGGATTTTCAACAGACAAGTAGTGCATATTTCTTTTATTTAATTGTCCATGATTAGTAAAAGTCGATTCATCGGTAAATAACATCTTATTGAAAAAGAATTCATTGACCTCCAACTGTTGACAAAATTCCAACCGATTAACATAAACATTCCCATGAATATTTTGGCTGCATATGCAAATATGAACTCAGAAATGACAGACAGGGCAAGAGAATCATTTAAATATCTTCAAAAATGTATTGAAGTCTGAGAGCATAATTTTGAGAGCATCTCTTTAAATAAATTTTTTGTCAGAATAAAATACAAAATATCTCATAAACTACTGGGTTTTTGGTATCTCTACTTTAATACTTTTATATGCAAAATAATTAGAGGAATTTATGTTATCTAAAAAAAATTACATAATTCCATTTAAAAAAGTGGAGGTGACCTTCATATCTTTTCAGCGCCTCCACTTAGAAAAAAAAAAAATAACGTGACTAAAACGTTGCCCTTAACACCGTTCCATTTTCATTTGAAACATTTTTTCGTATTATCAAAAATAAACGAAATATTCAAGATGATCGATTTAAGTGGACCACCCTGTATATATGAATATAGGAAAAGGAAATTTGTATGACTAATTTAATAAATAAATTTAATATATATTCATTTCAGTTTTTCTCTTTCTTATCTTCTCCATAAGAATTTAACTATGTTGTGAATGTACAATATCAAGTGACAATACCTTTAAGATCGTGGAAAAGCGTTTTGTTAAAAATATATATTTTCCGAACCATATAATTCTACGAATTACATATTGTATATATATGAAACAATTACATTAAAAATAAATTAATGACTAGCTCTATTTTTATGATTCTTATAATATATAAACAACTTAATAACATTTAAGTAAAATCGTAGCAACGATTTCATATATATTCCCTTTAGTGTGTATGTATATCAATATATTTCAAATGTTATACATATCAAGATATATTCGATTGGAAAACATTGTTTCAAAAATAAATCATCGCATGTCAATGTATAAATATAATGCATGTTGTACATAACGTGTATAATAATATAAAATGACAAAAAATATTATTAGAAAATGTCATACAGTTAAAGGGGGAAAACTTATGCACCTTCCTCTGTTAAGTCCATCTCATCAAGTAAAGCGTTCTTCAGTTTGTCTTCCAACAACGCGTTTTCTAATTGTTGCGCCTGCAAGCGGTTCTCTACCTCTATAGACACAGAATGCACTTCCATGACACGAGACTTAGTGCTCTCGCAAAACTCTGCTAGTAATCCAAATTCCTCATCTAATGCATCATCCAAATTATTTTCCGATTTATCGAGTTTCTTTCGCTTCCTCCTCGGTTCATTTAACGCGATGTTATCATCCGAGCTTGATCCGTGCAACATGAATTCTGTCAGTACATTGGATTTGAACCACCACGGTAATGTTTGGAAATGCTTGATATGATTTCTGTTATAAATGACTATTTGATCTTCGTCCAGAAGACGTATCTTCTCTTTGATCATATATAGTAGTACATGTACAAAGTTGGATACTTGTAAACTGCCCGAGGTGAGGAACAAGTTGCTCAATATATCGCAAAAAATAATATTACAATTCGAATCGGACAACACCTCCCTGCAATAATTCATAATATGTTGTCGTAGATCTTGTATGTCTGTTATTGGCCACGGTGAACTGAAATAAGAAAATAAACGATATAAATAATAAAACAGCTATTGTGTATGTTTTATATATAACGTATAAATACGTTAATATAATTGATTACATTGATCTATAATAGATCACTTACTTCCACGGTGGTAGCACAAAACTGTTCATCGCGGTTTCTAATTTTGCTCTGTATTCATCTTGTTTCCACGATTCATCAAAATATTCGTAACTGCATGGCATAGTGCCGCTGTTCTTGAGAAATTTCTTTAACTCGGGTGCAAAATTTGTATACAACATGGATTCTGGATCTAAGATTATGTCTATCAAGTGATTTACAGCCTCATTGTGCAAATCAATTACAAAATTTGGGTCCGTTAATGCGTCTGACAATTTTTTATTGTACATAGAATCACCCAGTATCCTGAAAATTATAATAATGAACAAAATATAGATACAACATATGTACATATTAGAATATATGTATACCATCAGATTAAGTAAGTATATAGTATAGAAATTATCTTACCTCAACCATAACTCTTCGGACAAACATATGTCGTATACGTTAAACAGATAATCCATTTCCAGCGGATTCGATGGCGATTTGTTCATCGTCAACCATAAAACTGCGCTTTGCATCAAATTTAAGATAATTTTTGCGGACAGATTCTCCTCGTACATGATTGTATATTCCGATACGTAGCCAGATTCCAGAAAAGACTCCAAATCCAAGACGATGCTATTATTCTGATTTTCCAAGTTTCCGTTACCCAAGACGATAAAGGCGAGTGGCATAGGCATTAACTTGTGCCGCGACAATATGGTCTTCGTTAAACGTTTCGCGACAGATCTGTAATTCTCCGAGGCGTCAGCGATAAAGAGAAGTGCGTCGGCACCGACCAAGTGATGTTCGCTGATCAGACCCTCGAAATGCCTTATGCAGACGTGCAAAGTTTCATAGGGATTTGGCCGGTAAATCTTCACGATAGGATCCATCGTAAAATCGTCGGGATTCAAGTATTCGTTCATCACCTTCTTGTAATACCACAAAACCGCTTTGTTGGCCAAGTCCGGCCAGGAGATGACGAGTTTCCAGTATACGTTAGGCAAGGATTCGAGGTCTAACGATCGTATATTCTCTTTGATACCGGCATACACGATAATTTCGATAGGCGCAAGAGTCTCCGTCGCTCTGGAAACTGTGTGGTCCTCCGATTCGCCTCGTCGTTTACACATATTCCGCATCACCACTTCTTGTTCTTTGGTATACAGCATCCGTGCGGTTTCCTCCACGGAATGCCTCTGCAACCAAACCGGCGTGTTTTCCAACGCCGCTCTTTGTCGCTTCTTTCTCAATACGTACCGCTTCCAAATGTTTACGTACTTGGCGATCACTCGATTCTTAATTCGCAGTGACATCGCTTGCAACTTCCTTTCCTGCTCGATCTCCGCAATCAATGTTGTATCGCAAATCTGGAGAGTTACTTCGCCGATCATGTCTGAAAGGATTCTCTCGCTCAATGTGTCATACATCTGTATCCTGTCGATTTCTTGTTTTGCAATGATAGAGCAAAACTCATTCGTAACTTCTACATACAAGCTATTGTAAATCTCTTCCGACTGCTCCTCGATTCGTTGTATTCTCCTCGCGTATTCCAGCTTCTCTAGCTTCACTTTCTCAGCCTTCGATATCGCTTCCTCCTGGGTCTTCTCTTCCTGTTTTTGGAAGACACTTTGCGTCTTCGTCGTTTTATTCGCAACATTCGCAAAGACTGACTGTTGAACAGAAACTGGTACGGGTAAATTGTTAATAAATATGGAGGATGAAGGTGTAACGTTTCTGAATAAATTTTCCGAGTCTATCCCGGAGAAGATGCTTTTATTTACGGCCATCGCAAACGGCGGAACTGGTTCTGCATTTCGTGATGTTCCCAGTGTGGAGAACACCGAAGGGCTGCCCACAAATAAATTATTACCGACAGTACTGCTACTACCAAATACTGCTGGTTGTAGTTTATCGTTATTAGTGTCTTCACGTTTACTAGTCGCACTTGTCCTATCAGAACGTTTTTCGGAAGCTACTTTAATCGATGCGCTAACTTGAATTTTGTTCTCAATAAATACATTCGATTCTTTTGGCTTGTGTTCGAATATATCCGGTGTCGACGTTTTAGAAACCTCTGAACTGACTGATTCGGAAATTGACGTGTGTTTAAATGCGTTCATTTCATTGTTCGCATTTTTTGGCTGTTTTGCCGTTGGAGTTTGCACAGGTCGAAGATCCTTTGCAGCTTTCTGATCTTTATTCCGGATTGATGTCAACTTTGCTATCCTCTTTGTCTCCTTTTCTACAAATTCATATGGATCGTACCGTTCTGCGGAAGAACCATCAGCAGTTTGGTCCGCGGCGTTGATCGACTCAGGCATTAAATAACCGTGTGCGTCAAAACTGTTATGTGGTTTATGATTCTTGTAAGTCTTCTCTGGCATTTTTTTACCGGCGATGCATTGCCCGATACTAAATTTTAAGACGATTCTCTTGGATTCTATTAAATTAAAAGCTCTACCCTGCGGGATACTCGCGGCGGGCATATTAAAACGTTGACGATTCAGGAGAATGGACATCCCGTCGTTCGATAGATTCAATCCCGCTTGTTTGCAGAAATATATAGCTTCGGTTTCATTCTCAAAGCCGAGGATGTCTATTAATTCATATAATGGAAAAGCGGTTGAGGTACTTCTACAGTATGCCTTCACCATTACCGAAAGAGCTCTCAATCTAATTTGATTGAAATATCTTAACAGGATGCAAGCGTTCAAGTAAGTCGTCTTTTGAACAAGCTTAAAAAATTTGTAATAGTTATTCGAGTCTAATGAAAAGTATATTCTGATCGCAAATTGGACTTCTGGTGAATTTTGCACGGACGTTGGTAGCTGCTGCAAGTCGTATAGGAAGTTACCATTGTTCAAATTTAACAGTACAATATACGCCCTGAATTCAGGCTCGTTTTTGCAGGTGATACCTTTTACTCTCAAATCGTGGTACATGTACTTCAAAGTCTGCAAACACTTAGTCAAGTTCTCCGAATTAATCTTCTTATCAAATACAGACGCATCCTCTGCACAGAGTCTCTCGGAGCATACTATGTGAAACCTAGCACACTGCTCGATCAATTCAACGCTCTCCTTGCAACATAGTTCCTGCTGTGTAATATCCTTTCTAATTCCTCTCGTCCTATCCCAGAGAAAGTGATACCATTCGGCTAGATTTGTGCCTTCCTGCTCACAAAGATCCATCAATTCGTGAAGTAAGTAGCTCATGGTCATCTTCAAAGATTTTACCGGTCTTAATTCATGGGGCATCGGTTCTTCCTGATCTGCGGAAGATCTCGAATATTGCTTTACAGCAATCGCATGATTTATTCTATACTCGTTTCCTTCCAGCTGTTCATACGAAGCGACTTGCCTTTGAGACTCACGCATCAGACGTTCCTTCTCAGGGCACATATCAGGACAAGTACCATTGGTTACTGTCGCGAGCGAAGCTGGCTTGGCTCGTTTCACTCTCATGAGACGGTCTCTAGCCTCCAACACTTTGTACTTGTCTTCGGCCGTAAGAGCAATTTGGTGTATTATATTCTGCAGCTCTTCAATAGATTTACTAGGCAAAGATTTAGTTATCTGACTCTCAGTATCATGCTTCTCCATTTTTGTAGTAACCTTCTCTAATTTTATAGCTTTCTCGTGCGACAATGTTGTTTTACCACTCAGGGCTTTGGCTTTTATAGGAAATAACATACTTACACTAGACACCTCGTTTCCTTTGGTAGGATGCAAATTATACTCCATGTTCGCCATGGCTTCCAATTCTGATTTAATCTCATCGTCGGATGCCTTAAGTAGATTTGTCACTATATCGTGGTGCAATTCCTTCTTCTTGATTGTCCTCTTAGCTGCTGATTCCAGCTTTGTCCATTCTATGTCAAACTTTTCGTCTTTGTGATTACCACCACCGTAATATGCAGCGCTTGCTTCTATTTTTGTCGAGTAAATCACCGTGATTATGTGTTTCTTCGGACGAATAGTTATCTTTATGATTTTTCCATACTTGACAAAGTATTCCTTCGCTGCTGTTTTAGTTAGTAAAGATTTTGGCACGTTGGAACATGTTATTGAATTGTTAACATTGACTTTAGTGATACGTGACCTGGAATTCTTTTGCAACTGTTCAAATGCTCCTGTGTCTTTAAGGGCATTAGCAAATACATTGATAGGCTTGTATGTAGTTCTAGAAATTCTTGGTTTATGTCTGTTAGATTTATACGTCCATTGCTCTAATATACTGCGCCCATCTCTATTTTCATTACGTAAACCACCTATGCGGCTTTTATTGTATTGTGACACTATCGTGGGTGCAGCAAATGTAAACATATTCTTCTTACTGAATTGAGTGTCAAACACATGATCTGATCCTACGCCGAAATTAATAACTCTTGGAAGATCAAATTCAGTACTCGGTTTTGAGAACACAAAAGAATTCGAGGCTGCGTCTGTTTCTGTAGCGTCCATCTCCATTTTATCCATTTCGCTTGAGACTTCGCGATTATCTTACACCTGTAAATTATATGTAATGTAAATATACCAACACTGTGACAAATATGATACTGCGTATTAAAACGATATAAAACGTAAACACGGTTTATCACATCCTTGCACGGAATCCCGTCGGAATAGCAAACATCGTCTCTCAATCAGTATTCATTAACAATCGTAAATCTACCAACCTATCTCGGAGAATAGCACCAAGTAAAACAATTACTGAATTATCAACGTCACAACAGCAATGTTTACGCGCGTATTTGAGACCCTAACCTATTTTACACAATACGCTGATATATTCAAATGTGTTCGCTGATGTTAGTACGCGCTAGAGTCCTAGATATCAGAGAAGCGCAACCGGCTTAAGTCAGTATCGCAAAATTACTAAACCGTGGAAGTACTCTCGAAGCGCTTTTGAAGCGCGCAATAGTTAATTCGGAACGACTTTCTACGCAGTCTACGCGCTTCATGCGTAACTCGCGCACCCTTATGCCTAGTGACCCTCTAATAAGAGTCTGGCCACCTTCTCCCCGGTTTGTGATTGGTCCGACATTTATCATCCATTCCCGCAAATTTCTTTAAATTTATAAATTGTAAAAATTAATAAATTCGTAAAAATTAAAGTACAATCAATTACAATTTTTATTTTTATTATTATTTAATTTATATTAACATTATTAAATATTTTCTATAAAAACTTTTATGTAAAAAAAACGTTGCAATATGTCTTTCATAAAATAAAAACAACAATTAAGTAAGTATTATAAAAATATTGAAAATATAAAAATTAATATATTAAGAATATATAAAATTTATAAAAATATTACAAGATTAAGAAACTTTAATAAAAATTAAATTTAAATACAAATAATACAATTAATGCTTTAAAATTCTTAACAAAAAATACTTAGGTAGCACCAATAGGGAATAAATAAAGTAGTATATTTATGTAGAAAAAAATATTTCATGCATATTTCATATTATTTATGTATATTAGATATACAGTATTTATATTTAATAAAAATGTTTTTGTAATTATTATATTTAACATATATAACAAAAATGTAAACATATATTCCTTTAACGCATAATAAAAATAATATAAATAATAATATTAATCATAATAATATAATAATATTAATAATAATAATAATAATAATAATTAATAATAATAAATAATAATAATATAATAATAATATAATAATATAATAATATAATATAATAATATAATAATATTAATCATAATGATTCTTCTTCTTCTTCGAATATTAATGGTCCTGGTCTTAAAAATGATACGATGCATGAGGCGAGACGAAACAGAAACAGAAACTATGAAGTTTGTAGAGCTACAATCAGCTACAACTTACAGCGCCACTAGAATGAGATAGCATGATTTTTTCTCTCTCGCACAATTTCGACGAATAATGGCGGACTTCACGTGTCCAGACTCTTATTAGAGGGTCACTAGGCGCGACGAGCGATGCGCGACGAGCGATAACCAATTAGAACTCTGCTTTACATCGTCGTGTGAGCTAAAGCAAAGCTTTTATTGGACATCGCTCATCGTTCATCGCCCATCGCATCCAGTATTAATTAGGCATTATGCCTAATATAAAATATACCCAATATAAAAGAGCGTACTATGAAATCGTACCTTAAAGGTGGCTTTTCATGCTGACGCTCGACGTTCATTTTTAGCATCAAAACAGATCATGTGATAAAAATTGACGAATAGCAAGCGAATATGACGCTTGCTATTCGTCAATTTTTATCACATGATCTGGGGGCCTATTACGGTTTTTCGGTGAATTTAATCACTTTTCACATTTTCATATCACGTGACTTTGGTCACCCAATTACGGAATTGTTGAGTGAAAATGTGAGATAACTATAGATACTTTCGGTATAGTAATCTCACATTTTCACGAAACCAAACCAAACAAAATAGTTTGCAAGTCTTGAGTGAGGCGGACGATTCGCAGTCGGGTTAAAATTTAATTATAATTAGTGAGATTAGGCACCTAGAGATGAACGTTACAGAAAAACAAAAAAGAATTTTATTAAATTATATAAGTATGAATGAAGATTTTGCACGAGGCCGCCTGCGATATAATAGCGGCAATAAAAAAATATTAGTAAATACTACATATTATCTGTCAATATATGTTAAAATATAAGATTTTATCAGCAATGTGGTAGTATTTTAGTTTTAGTAGATAAATATAATATTATATGTATAATAATAAGTACATATAATAATACGAAAATTAATTTTGTTTACATTCCCTATTTCTCCTATATTCTTCTTGTTGCACAAGCACAAACATTAAATTATTCATTATATGAATAACAGTATAAGATAATGCGTCTTTCTTTGTCACTCTTGCGTGATTTCACATTTTCACGGCGAAATTTTATGCCGAGCCCGCTCACACGAATAATTTCGTATTCTCACGAGGTGAAATTGACCGTAATTGGGTGAGTTTCTCGCTTTTGTCATTTTCACCCAATCCGAAAACCGTAATAGGCCCCCTGTTTTGACGCTGAAAATGAGCGTCAGCATGAAAAGCTACCTTAATTCATAGCGCATGTACGAATCAACCAATCAGAAACTCGAACGTCAATGGTCGCGTTCAGCAGATTCAACAGTTGAGTGAGCGCTCGCTGTTATTGGTGTATTCTTCTAGATCATCCAATCAGAATTTTAAATCTGGAAGAATACACCAATAACAGCGAGCGCTCTCGTAGCGCTCTTTTCTGCGCCCAATGTCGCTTCTCTTTATATACACTCTCTTCATATGTATCTTAATGCTTTTAGGAACGCGTAGTATCGCCAAACAGCGTCTGTAAAAATTTGAACTGATTTTAACGTGACAACGTTTGCAGTTTGCTACGGAAAGAACGTATTTTTCCGTTCTGAAGTAATCTTCATCGATAACAGTTTTCAATTACGAGACGTTAATGAGCAGCACGTGAGATGTGAAGCACGTGAAATTGAAATGGGCGTTTAACATTTCAACGTAAGATTTATTCGAGTGTTTTACATATATTACTATCAAATTCGATGCCTTCTTACAACGAGCGCACGTTGCAACTTTTGCAGAAGATTCACAATGAACTGCAACGTTATCATACATTGTTGCGTTTAATCAGGAGCGATCTTGAGAAAATAAGGAAGAATTTTGTCGCCTTATCGGTGGGTATATTACCTTTATTATTTATTATAAGTAATCTATCATCTAATATCTTTGTTAAATATTGTTAAATACGCTCACAATTGACAAACATAACTCGCTAACTGTTTCTGAGAAATGAGGATGTTGTTGCCAATAAAAAAGGATCTTTTTAAAGCTCTAGAGTAATACTGATTCTGTAAAGAATTCTGCACTTTCTACATTAAATCTTTGTGTATTGTTCTAATAATAAAATGATTGTGCAGAATTTTGAAAATATAGAATGTAATCTTTTTGGTCAGTACAAACTGCTTGCTTAATGATTCCGTTTAATCAGAAATCAGACTTAAAAATAACTCGTTTATCATAAATTTATGTTATAATTAAGGCTTTTGCACGTAAAAAAAAAGCGTTAACCGTAACTTTAACCTTCCTTTTGTTGTTTGACCCGGATTATCTCTTTTCCAAACATCAGAAACGAAAACAGTGACCGCCAGTGCCAAAATAGTGTATAAATAACTTGATAGCTTTCCTATTGGTTGGCATTAAGGTGTTAAATGTAAAATTCCAACATGACGAAATTTTTACTACTAACTTTAAAATTACAGTTATGGTTAACACTTTTTTACCTGCAAAGGCCTTTACTGTTCTTCCTAATATTCTCCTCAAGTTTGTCTTATAATAAATTCATTGGAGTAATTGGATTCATTTATTTGACAATCTTTTTCTTTTAGATGCTAATTTTAGATAAGTTATCTTTAAATGGTTTAAGAAAATTCTTATTTTAATATAATATAATTCTCAAAACTTATATTAAGTTATAATAAATATAAAAATGACATTGTAAGAGTCAGATAAATAAGAAAAATTTTTGTAAACGACAAATTAAACCATATATTCTAAGTTTTATCTATTATGACAGTAATTAAAAACTAACTTAAAATAACATTAAATGACAGATATTATTACATTACATTACATTACTAGTATTGACCAACAATTCTGGTCCTCTTCAGATGAAACATTAACATTAAAATATAAAATTGTGGATGAACAACAATACTTATGTAAAATTTATAAAATCCTTTAATTGTTTTTTCAGATCTATATAACTATTTTATAAATTTTACATATAAGTATTGTTGTTCATCCATAATTTTATATTTCAATGTTAATGTTTCATCTGAAGAGGACCAGAATTGTTGGTCAAAACTAGTAATGTAATGTAATGTAATAATATCTGTCATTTAATGTTATGTTTTAAGTTAGTTTTTAAGTACTGTCATAATAGATAAAACTTAGAATATATGGTTTAATTTATCGTTTACAAAAATTTTTCTCATTTATCTGACTCTTACAATGCCATTTTTATGTTTATTATTTTGTATAAAAAAAGAGTCCTTTAGTTTGTTTTAATTAGATTAAGTTATATAAGCAGTTATTGATTTATACTTTTCTATAACTTTAATTTTCCTTGAGAATGAATGAGTGTTGTAGAAATAAAGTATGCAATAGAATTATATAAGTTTATTTCTTTTGTATCACTGAAAATTAATCTTGATAAAACAATATATGCTTGTTTGTTTCAGGAACGTGAGAGTATTTAAAGACATATATAGATTAATAACAGTATACATATGTGTATATATATATATATATAAATAAAAATATAAAAAATTTTTTATGGTAAAATGGATTCCCGCAAGTCTTTAATACACAAGAGATTGGAGTCTCTACAAAATACACCAAATTCTTCGTCGCCATTGCGAAGAAAGTCTATTGTTCAAACTCCACCAACAAATAACTTATCAGAGAACGACGATGAGGCCGAACGTATCGCTCGCCGACGTGAGATATTTACAACACCGCCATCGGCTAATGGAAATAATAGTAGCAAGAGGTTGTCTCTGGGCTTGGGGTTATTAGCAAATATTCCAGTGCCTCAGATGGCCGAGAGTATAAATAAATGCATACAACTGAATGCTGAAAACAAGATCAATGTCAAGAACGCATTTAGTTTGGAGATGATCGACTTTATGACATATATGATAAAGAAACAGGATGCCAATATGTCGAATTTGCAAGTGGCTAGCACCTCTTTGGACGTGAGCACCAAGATCTATGGATATCGTGTGGACAATGTGCACATGGAAATACTTAAAATGGCTGGTGGACTAGATAAACAAGTAATGGAGAATATGGAGCAAAATTTGGAGGAACAGGCGGAAGCTGTACAGGAAGATGCAGAAAACGTTGAGGTACGGAAAAAAAAGAAGAAGAAATCGAAGCAAAAGATCTTTAGCACTGTGGAGGCTCTGAGAGGCAACATCGAAATCGCGAAACCTATGTCGACAATGATAGGCGAAGGAGATTTGCAAACCAGCGATATGTTGTATCAAGCAGCGCTGCCAAACCATGCAAATTCCGGTTTTTATCAGCATCCATATAACGATGTGCTTGTCGATGTCTTAGAGGATAAACTCCAATCACAAAATAATTCAGATGTAAAATATGTTATACCAGGAATCGAAGATTTCTTAAATTTGGAAATTTGTACATCATATTCGAACTTCGAGTTTCTCGATTGGTCTGTAGAGAACGAACCGGAACAGGAAATTGAATCCAATGATGACGGTGAGGACCGATTTCAATTTGATTTGGACGCAAGCGTGGAACATGATGACGATCCAGTACCCGAGCCCATGAACTACTTCGACATTGAGCATGATGACAACGAGAACATTCAGGCATGTTTTCGGAAAACGATAGATCGTCCAGTAAATATCGTAGAGATGCCTAAGAACGCCCGAGCATCCGAGTACTCCTTTGTTCAATCAAGCATGAGCTTGCATTGGGCTGGTCCGTCTCATTGGAAGTTTTGGAATTTCGTGAAATCTTCCGCTGCCGAAGGTAGTACAAAAGTAGCTTACATGCAAGCTAAGAAAAAAGAAAAGAGAAAACAGTTTGAACTGGTGTACGACGAGACACGCGATATCATAGACGCAAAGTTTGCGTCAAGCCAGTCCATTAAATTACATGCCAAAACCGCGAAAGCCGAGTGGAGTACTGAAAACTTGACCCTACCAGAAGATGTGCATTACGATATTACACAGGGGAGCAAGCTCTATCTGTACAAGAGATTAACTATAAAGTCGGCAAATAGTGAGAAAGAGAACGAGAATGTCGTAACTGTCGCGGACATATCTGATGGCGAAAGATATGATTATAACAATCCTAATGACACGCTGGAATACTGTCCCAATATTGAACAGGAAGTTTATGATGATTATGGAAGGGAGGATGGTAACGATGATTGTAATTTTGACGATAGCGCCAATGTGTTGGATAGCCAGGGTCTCATCGGCGACAATCTAGTCGCTGCACCAAAGTTAGTTAATAAAATATCCATCGCGTATTGTTTGAAAGCGAAAAAAATTGACATGCGACAGTTAAAGAAATCTTTATGGACTTGTTTGAAGTCTACGAATAACGCGGTAATCGCAGAAGAAACGTTGAACGAAACCGACACGATGAAGGAAAGCAAACAATTCAGCGACGTTTACAAAACGCTGCCGAAATTGCTAACGAAAAATAACGCCGAGGCATTAAGCGTGCCGATCTCTTTTATATCTATGTTACATTTGGCGAATGAGAAAGAATTGAAGATTTGTTCGGTACCGGACTTGTCTGATATTATCATTCAACCTGGATCGCCATCGTCGAACTGACAAGATTTCTTTTCTTTTGTACATATTCAAATAGACAGAACATAAGAAGACAAACAGGACAGAGTGTAATAAAAATTGCATTGCAAATAATATTGTCTTCACTAGAGACCTTATAACAGAATCTCACTACTATTTTATTCTGTAACTTTAAGATCATAGGATGATACGGTGTAAGTTATTAGTGAATAATATATGTACATGTACAGGAAAGAAATATACACGTATGCCTTTCTCTCTCGTAAACTTTCGTTACGTAATAAAATCGTTCGCAGCCAAACTCTAAAATTTACGACATACATATTTATGCAATTGTAATTCTGGAAGAGTATTTGAATGAGAAATAACGAGAATATTTACTTTTGTAATCGCGTGGTTACACATATAGATTGACAAATAAATAAACAATAAATTGGTAACTTTTTATTTATAAAAACTCGGATTACAATGATTGTATTAGAAATTAAACGAATCTCTAATTCGGTGAGATTACTTATTTTATACAAATGTGGCGTTTATCTGTCCACTTGAATCAAGGATGCTTTTTTCACCAAATTTTTCAAACTTATGTTGTTCATCAATGATTGATAATCGATTTGCTAAAATTAAATGCCTAAAAATATCTAAATTTTTTATTTAAAATAAATAGTTACCAGAAATTATACAATATATTTAAATATGTATGTATATGTGTTGCGAAAATGTTTCCGACGTTCTGAAATGTTTGTATTTATAACATGATGCTCTCAGTATTTTTTATTTAAATTAACATTGTCCGTCGACAATCGATCCGTTCGAGTTAAATTTTATATAAGTAATTATAAGAATTTTTATATAAGTAATTATAAGGAGCTGCGTATAATCAAATCTATTTCCCTCAGAAACTATATATATTTCGGTGTAACTGACTTCTGGGTATCTATCATAGAACAAAGTCGGAATGGATTCCGATCGGAATTTTTAATTATTTTCTAGATTTCTATTGCGTTTTCCAGGAAAAACGGAATCCATTCCGAACATTTCCATAATAGATGCCCTGAGTTCAAACCTGTTTATTTTTTGTTTTCATTCTGTAAAATTATTTGTGTGAATCTAAATAATTAGTTACATCGGAAATTGTTGCAAGAATGTTTACACGATAAAATGTTTAAAAAATATTTTTTGACAAAATGTATTTATAACATAATACACGAATATATATATTTTTGTCAGACAAGAATAAAGTATTTCTTATATTAATGCAAAAAACGTATCTCACTTTTATTACTCGCTTTAATTAAGTTGCAGGGGTATCAATTTGTTTTTTATATACTATACAGTAGATATATGTATACATATATATAAGCTTCATATGCATTTCACGAATCGTAAATCACTTGTTTGTCCTTGCGTAAATCAGTCGTGAGTCGCACGACTACTTTCAACAATATTCTTGTTTTTGGATTCATTCTAAATCGTGAAAAATGTTCTTATAAATTGCACTTCTTTTTTCCATAGCCATAAAAACGTTAAAATCATTTAATCATGACCGCGCTATCGAAATCGTTACTCGATTTGTCGCGGCAATACAGACGTCATCCTGTCTCAATCTTGCGTCGTAAATTTTCGAAAGACCCTCCGACCAACGATTGGAAGGTCCAGAGAGTCGTGGAGAAGAGTGTGAAAGAATTGACGAGAAAAGAGAAAGATAAAAATGTACAAAAAGACAAGGAGACTAACATAAGAGTGTGCATCATCGGCGGCGGAGTGACACCTCTTTACATTGCGATTCTTTTGAAGCAATATAAAATTATCAAGAGCATACGTCTGGTGGATACAAGGGACTCCATGTCGGAGGCTTTGACAGATATGTCACACCTGGAAACCAGTCCTCGTATAGATTAATTACTTTCGAGAAAAGGATATAAAGCAGGCTCTCAAAGAAGTACGAATTTCGAGAAATACACATTGCGGAAAACATTTTTTATGTCCATTAAAATGAAATAAAGCAAAAGGAAAGAAAGACTTAATGCTCGAGAAGAAATTGGAAATTTTGCTTTGAATGAATATAGTGTTTCGAAATTTGCGAATTCTTGAAAAAATAAGCGACAGAAATATTTCGTCATTCTTTACTTTGAGTAATTTTTGAAAAATAAAGATTAAAAACTGCAGGTTAATTATAGATTATGCGGTTAAGTGGCCATTTAACTGTGATATCTATAATCTATAATTGGCCAGTTTTTAGTCTTCCTCGCAAAAACTATTGCTCAAAATTAAAAGTAATAAACACATATTTCCAACTTATCTTTTTCAAGAACTTTCTTCCTGTGTGTATTTTGCAAAATATCCTGTATATACATAAATTGTAATTAAACATTGTTCGATTTTAGAAAAAATTGTTTTTATATTAATTAAAAAAAAATGTTTAGGCTCGATCGCGACGTACGGTGGACGGATCGAGAAGACGACGGCAGCAATTCTCAACCTCGAACGCACCGCAGGTCTCTCGGTGCCGCTGGCCGGCGCCGACCCGCAAACCGTTGTGCTGCCGTTATTGTCGCGCGCTGTTCCGTACAATCAATTCACAAAAGTACGAATCAGTCATGAGATTTTAATTTTTAATCTCGATCTTTAGGTTTTTAAAGAATTTCAACACACTCTTAACTGTTATTTCGAGTTATTTTTAAGCAATTGTAATGTGCTTGTAAAAAATGTTCAAATTTAATTAATTTAATTCAATACTTTATAAATATTATTATAATAATGTTTAATACTTTAAAGGAAATAAAAAATTGCTCCCTAAGTAAAGAGAAAATATATATATATATATGTACATATATTAAAAAGCTCGCAGGATCTGTTACGTCTACAATTTGTTTTTCTTTGTTTTATTTGACAAGTAGGAACAAATTATTGCATCGACCTAAAGAAAATAGTTACATATTTATTTGCAGAAAAAAATTCTATTAATTTTCTAGAAATTAAAAACAAATTATATATTAAGAACTGAGAGCTTTATAGCATATATTAGATATTTGAACGGGTAAAGATCAAATACGCCTCACGTATATCTCTTGTAAATATTTTCTAGATTCTTAAAATGATTTATACCTTCGTTAGTTAATATAATTAATGATGGTTATACAACTGCGCAATCGCTTAAGCTTTACTTGTTAATTAAGTTATATAATTTATATCTCTCTCTACGTAATAATCAATTCTATTTTATTTATAACTACATCAGGCACAACGCAAGACTATACTGCAATCGTTTCGGGCCGGTGACGAGGAGACAAGGACAACGACGAGAGTCCATCGTTATCGTCCGGAACGGCTGCCAAGTTGATAATCAACCTCGCTGCCGGTCTATCCGGGCACAGCCACGTTATCACTTGCGCTTACGTACGGTCGGATGTACTGCCGGTCTGTCGATTTTTCACCAGCGAGCTGGAGCTCGGTCCGGAAGGTGTCAAGCGAAACTTTGGCTTGCCGAAAATTTCGGCCGCGGAGGTACTCTTGATCGAGCAGGCGATACCTTTCATTAACGAGCACGTCGACATGGCGGTTGCCGCAGTTCGGACAGAAAGGACGCGCACTAGGACGCGATGACGGGCTCGGATCTTTTTCAGAAAATCTGGCAGAGTCAATGAGATCTTTTACTCTTAGCGAATATCTCGGTATTTGTGATTTTATGGCGACTGTATTCAACTTCATGCGCTTCGTCCCTTATAAGTTGTAACTTTATTATTAAGACTTGTAAATATAAAGGATAATTGTATAGCTTATACTATCGAATGAATTGAAAACAATTAGTCGACATAACAATCGTGATATTGAAGTCAAGAGCAAATATTTGTTCGGGTTTTGCGTCGTTAAGAGGAATGTTTAAAAACGATTCTTTTTAACGTTTAAGTTTCTTTTTTTAAGAGAATTTAAAAAGGCGTTTACAGATGATTATTCTGAATCCAAAACAACCTAGTCGACACCGACTAAAAGTAACGGCTACAATTTTGCACTCATAATAATGTAATTATAAATATTATGTAACTATTGTTCTCTAAATTCTTTGGAGTGAAATCTTACTACTTTAATGAGTAAAAAAGTTGAGCGAATTTGAAACAAAATGAGACTTTACACTAATCTTAAGTACAGAATGAAATTCACTCTAAAAGTTTTAGGGAATACATTTAGGTTGTTTTTTTTTTCAGTGCAAAACTTTGATGTTATATTAATTTTAAATAAACAATATGAAATCAAGGGCGATATAAGAGTCAATAAAGATTTTTGTTCAACAATAAAACATAATTAATAACTACTTTCGATAATTAATTTGATAAACATTAACATAACGCTAATTCGCCTTTAAACAAATAAATATGATAATATAAATATATATAAATAAATTACAAGTTTCGGCTCTCGGTTATTAATTTTGTCCGCCGCTTTTTAATATGTCTGAGGAGGGCTCAATCCGAGAGCCGAAACTTGTAACTTATTTATATTTATTAATATTATTATATTTATTTGTTTAAAGGCGAATTAGCGTTATGTTAATGTTTATCAAATTAATCAAAAGTAGTTATATTAATTATATATGTTTTATTGTTGAAAAAAAAAAAAACAAAAATCTTTATTGACTCTTATATCGCTCTTGACTTCATATATCGTTTACTTTTATTTTATATAACGAGTCCTTATTTCTTTTTCTATTAATTTGATATTAATTTTAATTAGCGTTGATTGGAACTCCAGATAGATATAACAATTCTTTTTCTTTTTCCTTCTTCTAGAGCTTTCATCCTCTTGACGTGGCGACATCATTTTTATGATATTTAATATCCAGTTAGTGATTGCAATCATCCCTGCGAATTTGTGAGGAAAAAGTGTATCAGTATCTAGCTGTGTCAACAATGATCCTTGAGTGTGCTTGAATGCGTTGAAGAATTACACGTCTTTAGATAACTCTATGCACTTTACTATAGTATACGTAACACAAACTGTAGCCTCTAGAATTATCTAGACACGTAATTTCTGAACACACGCCTCCGATGGTGTTTGCGCGTACAGCTAACTGCTGCTCACTGCGCATACAAATTGCAACTTACAATTACAAAATGTAATCTTTTGTTTTGATTTGCTCCATAAGCATTCAAGGATTCCTTTTTCAGCTGATCCGTGGAAGTTCCTGCCCTCTAAGCTACATTAATATAAAACGTAGCTCCTAGATGGAAGCAAAAAAAGAAATACATGCCATCGCGAATATCGCGATTCGGCGAAATACTAGCTGCAGAATACATTCCTGGCCGTTGACATCGCAGTTCATTGTGGTTCATTGTCGTTCGTCCTGCAGATTCATCGTAGTGGTGTGCTGTGCGCGAGCGCACATTTATCTATCCTTCTCCATCTCTCCACAGTGCGCGGAGTTCAGATTCATCGTAGTGGTGTGCTGTGCGCGAGCGCACATTTATCTATCCTTCTCCATCTCTCCAGTTGCGGAAACGGCGCGGGTATTTAGCTGACGAGCGAGTCTCGGCAGAATCAGTCGCACTGTGAGTCGCACTTCGCAGTTTATAGTTGCAGTGAGTCACGGTCGGTCGTCACGTTGTACGTACGTTGGTCGTTGGCGCGCATTGTTAGTCATTCGTGAGTGATCGAGGTATGCACCGTTAAACCAAGAACGAAACGCGCATCCCTATTCCTTTCACACAGGCGAGATCGCGCGGCATTTAGGTGTTGCGCGAGTGAATTGTATAGAAGTGTCTAGTTGTGTTTGAGCGCGAGACGATGATTCTATAAGGGATCAATTCAGATCAAGTCTCTATAAATATCCCTCTCGATCTCTTACCGATTCAGTTTAAAAAGAGATTCGCTGAACAACAATCATGTGGAAACCCTTCGAACCTGGCAGTTCGCCCGTAGATTGGTGTGAGCGCAACTACAACATCTCTCCTAGCATCGCCGAGTTCATGAACACGGTTGGTATTCGCTTTTGTTTGCACATTTTTGCACGCGTACGGTCTTTCCTTTCTTCGATCAATTTGGAAATGGCTTCTACCTGGACGAGAAAGTCCAAAGTGTATCGATGATTCACGAGAATCGCACTTCAATGGAATTTTAATTATGCGATTGACCTGAAAGTGCGAGGAGCTTTCCTAAGGACTGAGAGCACACAGTAAAATCTTTTATCCTTTGATACTTTTCAAATTCTCGAAGGTATTTTAATGTTGAAGATTATATATATATAAATTTAAACGATAATGATAGTTTCCTGTTTCTTTCTGTCGAGACAAATATTTATATAGAATTTTTTGCACATGAGACCAAATTTCATATTTGTCACAAAATTCGTAGATAAAAGTTGCATAAAAATGAACAATAAATTTATGATAACTGATTTTCACTTTTTTTGTATGGAGCAAACATTTTCCATATATTGAAAAATTTAAAGCTTAAAGTATTCTTAAAATGAAGAATATGTTAGTGATAACTGATAACTGTAGGCTTATTTTGTATTCTTTTAAACACAATTTTATGCTAAGGATGTCATTGCGCAGGTATTTTACATGGGTGAAAAAGTTATGCAACGACAATATAACAATGTCGAATTGTTAAAAGTTATAGAGTAACTTTTATAGATTTCCAAGTGTTTCATATGAGGGAAACAGTTTGTTAGATAATTGTTTTGTATACAAAGCAAATTCTACATTTGTTTGTAAAACGTCAAATAATTCATACAAGTAAAAGTGCCATAAAATGGACATAACACGATAAGGAAGTCCATATATATTACTTTATAAGCAAGTTAAAAGTACAACTTTTATGTTTATTTCTCAAATAAAAATTTATTTTTTCTAAACAAAAGTGTCTTAATATCAATTATTATTGAACCATGAGAATTGAGATCCGATTGAATTATAATTAAGAATTATAAAATGAAACGTTTTTCCTTAAGAAGAGGTGCAAGTGGACAATAAAACTTTTATGTCCAGTATTTCTAAATTAGTCACAAAGATAAATAATATTCATCAGTTACATCAATACAAGTATATAAATGACATCCAGTTTTTTGTCAAGATAGGTAATTTTTTGCTCAAAGTATGTTCTAAATATGTCAACAATTTCATAGGTCAAAGGTGTATAGATCTGAGATAAGTTTGTCATTGCAAATAATGAAATTATATTATTAAACAGAACAAAGGATATGTGTTAAAAAGATAACAAGAAAACAATACATTTATATCTACACAAAAACCAGGAAGAATATAATTAACTCGTATATCTTGATTCATTATTTCTTATCTCCAATAAGTCTCTTGATATATAACGACTCTTTATCTTATCTTATATATATAAGTTCAATACCTTCATCCAGAAATTTTAACACATTAGTATAAACGGAAGTTGTTTGTCGAAACCAGTTTTATCTAAAACTAAAAATTTAATGTTTTAGTTAGAATATGATACTTATTATATTTCTGCTAGATATAGTTTATGCAAATATACAAGATCATTTTTTGCACCAAACCGTTAAATCATGATTAATTGCATTGGACAGATAAATATAATACAAATATAGAAAGAGAGTAATATATTTTTCATTGTTTAACTGTATTGTTTTTATTTTCTAGTTGAGTAATGTGGTCTTTGTGTTGCTTCCACCCGTGCTCATGCACCTATTTAGAGACTATGCACGCTTTGTGAATCCAGGAATTCATGTGTTCTGGTTTTTACTGATGGTAGTCGGACTTACTAGTGCATATTTTCATGCCACTTTATCCTTGATAGGTGAGAGTTTCAAGTATCGATGTTTACTTTAATATAATAATTTAAGAAATTTAGTGTTTCTCACAATGAAAGAAATGCTATATGTTAAAGTCGAGATGTATTTGCTTAATTGGTGAAATTTATTTATGTTGCGTTATAGCTAATCTTGTGCATATATGCGATAGGTCAACTATTAGATGAATTGTCTATTTTGTGGGTGTATATGGCAGGATTCTGTATGTTCTTTCCCAGAAGATATTTCCCCAATGCCGTACATAATGACAGAAAGCTCTTCTCTATATGCGCAACGTTACCCACTCTAATCGCCACCGGCTTGGCCTTGATACATCCGGCTGTAAATGCATTTGCATTGATGAGCTTAGGTGTACCGGCGATTGGATTCTTGATCATGGAACTAAAGAGGTAATTTCTTTTCATACATACGTCCAATATAAAAATTACACGGATTTAGAAAGAAAAACACCAATAATGATGTAACGAAAACGTAAGAATTTTGATGCATAAAAGCCGCATAGAATAATACAATAACATTTGTAACGAGGTCTTAAAAAATTTGAAGGACTACCTCGATAAGGGTGTACAGATTAGGATTGCGATGCGGCGCCATGTGGGTACTAGCAGTAATCTGTTGGCTAAATGATCGTCTGTTCTGCGATACCTGGCTGAATCTAAACTTCCCGTATCTCCATGCATTGTGGCATTTGTTCATCTTCATTGCGAGTTACACTGCGGCGGTGCTCTTTGCGTACTTCGCTGTACAAGACGAGAAGCCGCAGCAATCTCCGGTGCTCAAGTATTGGCCCAGGGACACCTTTGAACTTGGCATACCGTACGTAACTATTCGAAGTTATATGAAGTCGAGTTATAATTTAAATATATAGCTCTCGTAATAATTCCGAAAGCATTAACAATATAATGCATTATTAATTATTATATGAGAATATATACTTAGTAGCGATAGCAATATTTAATGTTTAAATGCAAAGATGTTTAACGTGATGTCCCGAGATTTGTAAACATTAATTTTATTATATTTTGTCGTTTTTTTATGAATATTATTTATGTGATATTAAGCAATTTCTACATAAATGGCATATTGAATACTTATGATTTAGTGATAATTTCAGAAATAACTCATAAATAAGCATATGTAATACTTGATTTGAGACATTATTTTATTACTACTATATATATGTATATACTGCTATATATATATATATATATGCATATGCTTGCGTTTTATATATGTATTTATTTAATATTTGAAATAATTGAAAATATCACTGACTAATAAGCGAATTACATGTCCTATAATATAATAACCTAATATCTCTACCTGACAATTAGCTTCCCTTCTAGTTATATAAGTAAAGCATTTCCATACAAACATCTGGAATTGATTATAAAAAGGACAGCTTCATAATGAACGTTTTCGTTATGTTGTTATAAACAGTGTAATAAGTTGTGTATATAATTAAAAACAGCGTATGTGAAAACAATTAATTCCTCATGCGAAAAGATTATAAAATCGCAGATATTTACGATGATATTATATGTACACATTAGCGAATTAGAAATTATTTATGGAATGATTACATTGTGATATGTACTCTTGTTAACTTTTTTACAAAAGACTATTTTAATAAATGTGCTGTAATACACGAATCGTCACTAAGAATACGCGTGTGTGTATTTTATATTTTAAGTACCCAAAACATAAAGATGTGTAACATAGATATATATTAATAGTATCCTATTTAAGTTAAGTTCTAATTAGAGTAGAATCTTAAAATTCTAACAACTATCTTCTGTGTGAGAGACAGAGAGAGAGAGAGAGAGAGAGAGAGTGTGTGTGTGTGTGGGCGCGCGCGCAATAAAAAAACATATTACGGATGAATTTAATTTTTTGCGGTATTATAGACTGTAACTACAATTGATTGCTACGACTACTCTAGTTTAAAAAAATTACGACAAAATTGGAGAATGTTAAGTTTTATATATTACCTATATGATACATAATTTTACATATATTATTTTCGATTGTTTTAATCTAATTAAATATTATACAATTGAGTAATTATATAATACGAATGTGTAATAAAAATATCAAACAGATATTAGAGACGAACAAGTTTGTACAATCAAATAATCTAACATAATTAAGAAGCAGAAGATACATTTTCATCGTATTCCCCTCTAAAACACATAACATTCTTGTCAGTTTCGTGGACCTTTACTTCATATAACAATTCAGGATTAGACATGTGCTTCTTTAATTCCTCAAAAATGTATATAGCAACATTCTCGGTCGTTGAAACCGTTTTTCGGAAGTAATCCACTTGCTTGTCGATATTCTTGTGATCCATTTGATCCATCAACACCTTTTGCATGCAGTCTTTTAAATCTTCCAAATTAATAACCATTCCTGTTGATGTGTTCACAGGTCCGCGGACAGTCACTTCCACTAAAAGTTAACTTAATTTCATCCCGATTTCATCTGTAAGATTTCATGCACCAAACAATTCAATATTAAAAATTCAAAAAAACAATGATGTCCAATCTCTTAACAAAAACGTTATCTTTTTCTGATAGTCTCTTCAAAGTTTACGTATTAAATGATTTTAATGAAATTAAACCTAAATGTTAAGCTTCCGCTAGAAAAATAAATAAATAAATTCGACGAAAAAAAATATAGTCTTATTTTTTTCAGATACCTATATATTATTTAAAACTGATCTTGTTTTATAGTAATATGTAATGTAAAACAACGAAGTGATAAATTGATAATACAAACCGTTATAGTTATGACCATGACCAAAAATGTTGTTGCACTTTCCGTATACTACTTCATTCTCGTGCTCACTTAGGAACGGACTAAAAATAAATTATTTAAATTGGTATAGCGTTCGAACAAAATCTTCCTTTGATCAATTCAGTGAATTGATTTTTTATTTCTAAAAAAGTGCTTAATATATTTTTATGTAATTATATGTGTATATATATATAATTTTTTTCGTATCTAAAAATAACAATTTTTTAGTTTTTAACAATAGACATGAAAATCGAAAACAAGATTTTCTCATTCGATTACAAAACAAACTAGAATGTAAGTATGTTAACGAAGTTCGAAGACCTATTAGTATCCAATATCTTTCAAATGATTGGAAAAAAATTAATTCTTTCCAAGAATAATTTTCTGGAATTTTTTGAAAAGAAGTTCTTTGTTAAAGACTTTAAGTTATTTGATTTTAAGCTTTGTAATTCGAATATCGTAAAATATTCTGGAAAATCGAACGTTCGCAGTATATAATATATAATATATAAAATGAACAAGAGGCTTATTTTTCTCTCCTTGAGAATGATTCCTGGATCAGTAAATCGTGAAATTTATAAGTGTTCGTTAGATCAAAGATCCGTTCTATTGATAATAAGATCCATTATATATACCAACTCGACACGTACCTGTTCAAACGATGGCAGCAAGATATCTGTGCCTTCCGAGTCAAGTAAGCAATCGGTCTTCTTTCACGACTTGAAGTTTCCATTCTCCAATCAACGGGAACACGCAGACACAAAGCTCAAGGATATCTTGTAAACGATGAAAAAAAAAGTTCCTTCCAGTGGATGCGCGACGATGATCGCAATACCTGGAAATCGATGTAATTATTAGAATAATCAATGTGAATAATTGTCCACAATTATCCAACAAACAACACACAGTATATATACGTATAACACGATTAGAAATCTATTTTAGATAACCAAATCTGTGGAAAATAGATTCTACAAAATACCTGCTGTAAATATATATTATGTCGACAGAATACCAGAAAGAAAGAAGTAAAAATATAACAGAATCTTGCCAGCGGAATATGATAGCAAATTTACTGTGAAAACTGAATAGAATCTCTGCTATTTCCTAACTATTTTTTAATATCAAATGTCAAATTAAAAAACTATATATATACCAATATACATGTACATATGTGCAGGGTATTTCACGAGAAAGGATTCAATATTTTGGGAGGTGATAACATCGATCGTTTTAAGCAAAAATGTTCATATAAACATGTGTCCTATTTCGAACGATTTCCAAGATAAGGCGTGCAATTACCTGCTGCATAAAATTGTTGGTAAAAACGAAACATTGCATACTTTTTTTTAGTAATTTATTTATTGTTCAACTGATACATTTTTAAAGTTCATAATAAGTTTTCAAAAATTCTGTCGTTAACATTAATGTATTTTTCAACTCTTGTGAGAACATGACGTGATTGCTTGCCTGAGCACATCGTGACGTTCTTTTATACAGGTAGTAACATCCCTTATCTGAGCGAGCAATTCGTCTCGTGTATTTATTTGTCTTTTGTGTACACTTCACTCTTCATTCAACCTCATAAACAAAAATTCAACGGGTTGAGATCCGAAGATCTTGATGGCCAAATTCGCCCTGTCTCAGAAATCGTTCGAAATAGGCCTTCTTGCTTATTTATATGAATATTTTTGCTTAAAATGATCGATACTATCACCTCCCAAGATATTTCTCTAGAGCTATTTCTCAAGACCCTTTCTCATAAAACACTCTGTATAATATACAGGGTGTTTGGAATTTAAATGGCCAAACTTCGAAAGCGTGTATGGGATCGATAAACTAGGAAAAAAGATCCTGTAGAGATATGATTGTTTTTGCTTCGTTTTGGAGAAAATCGCAAAAAAAAAAGACAAAACATAATTTTCATTTTTGTACTTTTTTATTACTTATTTACGTTGTATTTATTCACTTGCTTAATAGAGATATTGTTCAAAATGTTGGCCTTTTACAATACATCTAGTATGGATAGCTCGTGTGTTGCAGCTAAACACTGATCTGGCGATATTTGGTGCACTGCAACCTCAATTCGATTTCTCAATTGTTCTCTTGAATTAATTGACGACACATAAATTTCCTGCTTTAGGACCCCCCACACAAAAAAGTCCAATGATATCAGGTGATCGGAGTAGCCAAAGTACTACTCCTCCACGTCCAATCCGTTGTTGTGGAAAACGTCTGTCTAGTCAAGATCGAGTAACTCTGCCATAATGAACTGGACATTCATTGAGTTAAAACATTTCAATCCGTTACTGTATGTATATATCTTCTAAATAATCAAAGAAATCAGTCTCCAAAAAATCTGTATATCTGATTGTATTTAATCTATCGGATAAAAAAATGGTCCTACTAGAGAGTCATTCCAAATTCCGAACCAAATATTAATAACAAATTAATGTTGGAATCTACATTTTAGGGAACCTTGTTATAGGTAACAGTCCTGGGATTTTCATGAGCTTATACATGATAATTTCTTTAATTAATAGTAGATACCTCTTCTTTTGTGAATGTAGCTTCGTCCGTCCATGATTTTATAGCGAAGATAATGTTTCAGAAGCAGTGCAAAAACGAAGTATTGTCTTTTTTTTTGCGATTTTCTCCAAAACGAAGCAAAAACGAGCAAAAACCTTTATAGGACTTTTTTTTAGTTTATCAATCACCTACACGCTCTCGAAGTTCAGCCATCTAAAAATAATAAAGTTATAAGGCTCTATGTGTATAAAACAAAGTATATATAGAATAAGGGCAAAGAGCCAGTAAGACATTTAATTTAAATTTAAATAATAACAATCATGTAAATAAAGTAACAAAGAAGTTTTATATAATAAATAATACTCACGTTTCGACTCCGATCGAGTCATTCTCAATGTTACAGTTAAAAAATCGTTAAACCGTGATTAAATTATAAAAAACATTAATCTATAGTTGTATGCTTCTAAGTCGTTGTGTTTCTAATTTCGCATTCTTCGTTCTGTGCAATGTTGCAAGTCAAATCTAAGTTAGCAATAAAAAGACAATCTTATATAGTTGTATATGTAACATCTTTTCTGTAGTCAATCGATACGATCTTTTAACTGTAATTAAGAATGACCCGATCGGAGTCGAAACGTATATTATTTATTATATTAAACTTCTTTGTTATTTACTTTATTTACATGATTGTTATTATTACTTAAATTTAAATTAAATGTGTTACTGGCTCTTTGCCCTTATTTTATATACTTTGTTTTAGCCATTTAAATTCCAAAATAAGCATTCTGTATACGTGAATTTTTAATTTGCTATTTTAATTAAACGTTTTCAGCATTTTATGGTTTTACAAGATATATGTATATATTTCTTGTAAAAAAATGTTTAATTATGCTAGTATTAAACGCATCGAACTTTAAATGTAAGATTCGCAAAATCGATATTAACATCGACTAAACGTACCATGACCCGGTCAAATGACCGGTTGTAAACTTTTGATTAGAAAATTCGCAAAAAATTGTTACAGTCGAAGTTGTCATAATATTGATGTTGACGTTACAGATTGCTTGTAGGTATCAAGAAACAAAACGTCGACAAAAGTATTATTTACGTCCCTCGACGACGAGATCAATAAAGTTCTAGCAATGTTTTTCAAGTTTTGATTATTGAACGATATTTATAAATAAATCTTTGACGTTGACGTAATGCTCGATTTCGAAAGCAAAATATCTTTCTTCTGCGTGCACAGTTGTTTCTGTCTATTTTTACTACAATTGCTGCGCAGTTCGATCGTAAAGATACGTACATCTTTTTAATTGTTCTAATAGATTTTCCTATTACGGAGAGCATGGATCTACAGTATATAAAAAAATGTTACATCAACCTAGACTATGAAGAATTAAAGAGTAAAAGAAGTGTAAGTATATTTAAATTTATATAATAACAAATTGTCAAAATAGACCACAAAATTTACCGTTGAAAATGGAAAATTTGTTGGTTGAGAAAAAGAATGTTCTGATACTCTCTCGTTGAAAATGAAAGAAAAGGATCTGATAAACACACACATTCTTGTTATAATATTGTCTTCTTACATTCATTTTCAGACAGCATCAATGGAAATATATACTATGTGTAAGAAGATAAAATTAAAGCATATAACGTTTGTAGATAGGTAAAAACGTTAAACTGGTATTTAATCTTATCACGAATGATACAACAAAGTTACAGTTAAAAGCAAAAGTAATCTCTATCTTTATTTCTGTCATGTTTAATTACTTTTTATAATTGTAGACTTGAAAAGACGTTACTAATATTAGAAAGCCATAAGTCTCTTTTCAACTCTATTTGTAATCACGTAGATATACCTGAAGCTATTATAACATATATAAATTATTATAAAATAAACTTACATAAATCTAATCGTGTTACAACAGGTAATATTGTATCCGTAATCGTAAAAATATTTCACCAATAAAACGCTTACTTCTTAACATTTTACTTAATTTATAAATAAGAACAGATTGTATTTATCTTTTAATTTTGTTGTTGTTTTTTTTTTTTAGAAAAGATTAAACGAAACGAAATTATTTGGTCATTAATACTGACACTTCTTAATTTTTGCGCAAAGGATGACATACAATATTTTTTGGAAACTTGCATCATGTAATTATTTAACTGAAATTCACTCTATTATTAAATACTTATACTTATTTAATATATTAATTGAGATATTATTTTCTTTTTATGGTAAAATGAATATTATTACACACATCTGGTTTACGAAGAGAGCATTTCAAAAGTCTTTATATGTCATTTTATAAATTTTATTGCGAAAATATAATAGCTCTAATATAATCATCAACAATTTTTCTCTTGCTCTATGCTTTATAATTTATTTAAAAAATTGAATAAATTTTTTGAATAAAAAATATGTATCCGAAAACTTTCGAAATAATTTAATATTTTATATTTTAGCACAAATTCGTTGGCAGATAATGATTTATATAATGAGACGTATAAAGAGCTACTTTCAGGTAAGAGAAATATATTTAAGATTTAATTTAAAATATATTTTCTCTTCTAATATTTTTTAAATTTTATCATATATACAGATCAGGCCATTGACATAATACTCCTAGAAGATTCCGATTTATATGCATTTATTGAATATTTAAAAAAATCAGAAAATTATCGATATATAAGTACAATATGGGTATCAGAACCAATAAAATGCAATTTCTTGTCACTTATGCATAAAACTTTTAGCTATTTTACTGAATCTGCTATTCATGTATTTAAATCTAAACAACAATTATTCACACCTCCTATATCTCATATAATAAACGTAACATCCATATGGTCTGAAGATATTGTGGCAGCAAAAAATTTAGCAGCATCCTTAGATGTATGCATATTTAAATTGTATGGTACAGTACTACCAAATTGTTTTCAAATGTTAACAATTTTTCTTTTTGACAGAGAAATATAGTTCTCATAAATACACTGGAATTTTATGAGACAATGATAATTATGCCTTATATAGAAATGTTCAAAATTCCACTGTGTGATTCAAATTTTAATGACGAACATCACATAATAAACATGATAAAGCCAATAGTACATTGCAAAAAAAAGCTTACACCTGCAAATCCGACTTATAATTACATGTTTTATGATGGTACATGGCAAAAGCCTGTACAAAATACTTATTGGTTATATAATAACACTATACTAAGGGCAAATGCAACAAAGTACATATCTTATCTAATTTCAACCAATGATCAATTTAAAATTTTAGAAATACAATAATGATTTCTAACAAATTTTCAATTTCTATATTATTCTAGAGATGATATAAGCAGATGTTTTGAATCAGCTATGAAAGGGTTCAAAGTGTGGAGTGAGCTGTCCACTGAATCTAGAATGCAAATGTTATCCAAGCTTGCGTTTTTATTAGAATACATTAGGTATCTTGAACTAGTAAAATTATTGTACACACATATCTCTTGTGCATATTTTATCTTATCTGTTTCTGTGTTTTGTTAGTAAACCCGAATTGTCAAAAATAGTATTCAAATGGATAAAATTTCCACACTGGTATAAGAAGTCACTGCTGCCTCAACATGGAAGATCCTTGGTGGTAATAACCCGTAAACCGAAAGGTATTATCACGCTTATGGAGAAGAAAGAAGCAGATCTGTTTTGTAAATTGACACAGAGTTTAATAATTGGCAATTCCGTCGTCGTAATATGTATCGCAAAATCGTGCAATATAGCAGAGTATTGCAATCTGTTTTTGTCATCTGGGATACCTCCAGGCGTTATAAATATGTTGACGTGCGAGAACGTAAAGCCTTTAAAAGAGTGTTACAACGCGCTCGAGTTAAGCGAAATTTATCATCAATTTACCGTGAGCAAGCAAGTCGCAACTATGATTTAGAAATTTTACTGATTCCATACAGCACAAATCTCATTCCAGCATTATTGCAATAATATTGCAAACATTGGAGTAACGTTGCTCCAATCTTCTCTGTGCGGTATTCGACGTTCATGACGAAGCTGTCAAATTGCTAATATAAATATAGTCAAGAGTGTATACAGAGATTCCCATATTCGATTTCATTTTGAAATTATAATTTTATTGTGGAATACGACGATACTTTTACGTGTCAAAAGATAATTTCTTAAAAATAAAAATTGTAAGCAATTGTACATACTTTCAATTATCCGTTATAGAAATTTTCCCTTTTTTCCTTCTATATGGTTATCTAATCCTCTTATACGTTCGTAAATATTCGAAACGTTAAAAAATCGAACCTGTCAAAATGTATCCACCTGTCAGCTTCAAAATAAAGTAGGTGCGTTTCACGTTAGTCTCATCACATGAAAGTACCTTGAATCTAACCTATAATCTCAATTCTAACCAATTCTAAACTTACTCCGCTCTCCGCATCATAAAAATGCATCGAAGCATTTCAAAACTTTTTGTAGCTGTATTGAATTTCCGGCAGTTCCAGCATCTAAAAATTAAGTAGATGTCGAAAAAGAAATTAAAAGTACAGATAGTTCAGCTATAGAAAACATGCTTATCAGATCTGTTTTGAATTTTTGAACTTTTTAATTTTCCTTCTTTTTCGATCCAATGTTTATATTATAATTATGTAATTAATATAATCGTAATGACATATATCTATCTTTTTTCAAAGTGGAAAGAATTTCACTGAATTCCACATTTATAAAGAATAAAATTAATGGCATGTGACTTTAAACGTAAGCTCCGCGTGCCATTGGCTAAGCTTAAAGAGCAGTAATCTCGTTGACCAATCATAACCAAGAGTCTTGAAACCACGGCCTTTAATTTATCTCTCGGGAGTTCTCGATTGTGATTGGTGGATTCGCTTGCCGCTCGAGCCGAGAAAGGTTTTTTTTTTTATCAACGATGGAAGCTTGCAGTTTGAGTTTACTTGGATCTGCTCGTCCACCGTGCGTGCTGAGTAAATTCACGTCCGTATAAGACGTTGATTTCTCTCTTTTTCCCTTCCTTCTTTTTTTTCATGCTAGATCTCGCTACCCTTCACGCAAATTCCCGACTGTGATACGAAACGGTAACTCCGATTGAGAGTAATGTCAGTCACTTTGGTGTTATGTACACCGGTAACGCCCTGTAACATCCGCAGGTATTAGTCACTCGATGGAGCTAGCGATATGAGAACTATCTAAAGGAGTGTGACAGATAGAGAAATATTCCTTTTCTTGACGGGATACGTAACTCTTCGAGATGGACAGCAAGGGGAGGAAGATCATCGTCTGTGACAATGGCACCGGGGTAAGGCCACTCGTCTTTCATTTCCCTCGCAAGACTCTTCGTTAAGAGAGGATGTGCATTGAATTAGACACGTGCTGCAAAACGATCGAATACCCTTGCATATTTCGGGCACCGATGCAGTTTTTCATTGCAGTTTGTCAAGTGTGGGTACGCCGGCGCAAACTTTCCAGCCCATATATTCCCGTCTATAGTGGGACGACCAATAATCAGAGCTGTCAACAAAATAGGTGATATTGACGTCAAGGTATGTACATACGTTTGTTGCTTCAAGCTCGTGCGAGCTCCAATACGTTCGATTTATTGTTATATGTATTACCATTCCTTCGATACTTGATTGTTTAATTTATCATAAAAGTTAACATATATATATATATATATAAAGCAAATGATATACAACAGTCACATTTATAAATGTAAAGCAAATCTCGATTTTGACTGTAATCGATTCATGGAACTGTACAAGAGATGAGAAGTATATATTTATGAAAAGCTCTAAGTTTAAGTTGTATATAAAATCTATAATATTCTAAACCTTAAATTGCTTTAGCGTGTTTATCAGTATTTAGACGATTAATAAGAACAATTATATTTTCAGCAAGAATATTGCATTCGTGTAAGTCTATTACATAGTATTACATCGTGTGTTCTCCCTGCCCTCCCCCCTAGTGCTTAAATCCAATTGAAAATAATCTATGTGCTTGTCCACTGATGTAAATAAAACATTTTGAGAGGCTAACGTTTACTAACCAAAAGGGAATATGTATTTGAAATGTAAGATGAACATTATTCATTTAATTATTCAATGAATTTATTAATGATTTCTTGGAGCTATAATATTATCATTAATTGAGTGATTTTATATTGTACTTAATATATGTATTCATTGTGTGTGTATCGAATAGAATGTTTTTCTCACAAGAGATCTTATAAATTTTTTGTCAATATAAATATGTTGGTTTTGGTAAAGCAAGACGATATATCTCTACTAGTACGTTTATTAGAATAATGTCATTTACCTGCAATTGTTATACTTGTGTGGGTACTTATGTACATGCTATACTCTTTCTATAAGTTTCTAATATATTTGTGTGCTTACATTTGCTCTCATAGGATGTGCTTAACATGCCTGTAAGTTTATTGTATTTTTTTGATGCTATATACATCCTTTACATCAGTGTTTTAATGAAGAAGAACTTTTTTTTCGAATGTAGGTGTGGGAGTAGTATCAAATAATCCGACAAATTTTTTCCAAAGTGCTTTGGTATACACATTTGGAAACTGATTTAATACAGAATACTTTCCTGATATGAATTCCATAATCTGAGTCTCACAGAAGTAACATATTATGTTATGATTACTATGTCAACTATATATTTTTAGTATACAAAAAAATTATTTTATAAATATTTATCTGATATTTAATCTACAATAATAAAACCAAATTTTATGTACCAGGAATAACTTTGATTTTCTTTGTATTAAAAACATGTAATACAAATAGTTTTGTCGTACACTTTTTGGATATTTACCTAGCTAGTATTCAAATATTAAAAATTTTTATACTACATATTAATTATATATGTAATAAATTAGTAGTATTGTGTATCATAATGAAATCAACATAGTTCATCTTGGTGATGCACGCAGAGGTTTGATAATCACATATTATTCTCTCACAGGACTTAATGGTCGGCGATGAAGCAAGTAAACTTCGTTCTATGTTAGAAATAAGTTATCCAATGCAAAATGGGATTGTTAGGTATGTTTACATCTTAAATCAGGTATTTGTGTTTGATATGAATCTCGTTGCAATATAATTAATGTTTAACAGAAATTGGGAAGATATGTGTCACGTATGGGATTACACTTTCGGCAAGGAGAAAATGAATATTAATCCTAAAGAGTGTAAAATTCTGTTAACCGAGCCACCAATGAATCCTATCACGAATAGAGAAAAGATGATAGAGGTAACGTTGTGCAATCCAAAGACAGTTAAATTAAAAGTTAGAAAACTTTATGAATTGATATTATTTTAGGTAATGTTTGAGAAGTACGGTTTTGCTGGGACATACATTGCGATCCAGGCAGTACTGACATTATACGCTCAAGGATTGATTAGCGGTGTCGTTGTGGATTCCGGTGATGGTGTTACGCACATTTGTCCCGTGTTTGAAGAGTATGCTTTGCCACATTTGACCAGACGATTAGACATAGCCGGACGCGATATTACAATGTATCTAATTAAATTGCTGCTACTGCGTGGTTACGCTTTTAATCACTCAGCTGATTTTGAAACTGTTCGAATGTTAAAAGAGAAACTATGTTACATCGGTTATAATATAGAAACGGAAGAGAAGTTGGCTCTTGAAACCACTGTATTAGTGGAGTCTTATACTGTAAGTAAAATATGTGCTATAATTTTATCAATATTTAAGACGCTTTAAATTAAGTTGTACAAATTACTATACGTAACATCTTTAGCTTCCTGATGGTCGTGTGATCAAAGTAGGCGGTGAGAGATTTGCAGCACCGGAAGCGCTCTTTCAGCCTCATTTGATTAACGTCGAGGCACAGGGAATAGCTGAGCTAGTATTTAGCACAATTCAAGCAGCTGATATCGATATCAGAAGCGAACTGTATAAGCACATCGTTCTGAGTGGAGGTAGTACAATGTATCCAGGGCTTCCATCGAGGCTTGAACGAGAAATTAAACAACTTTATCTTCAAAGAGTATTAAAGAATGATACCACTAAATTGAATGTAAGTATAGTACGTCATATGATTAACAATACTCAGAATATACACATATGTACTGCAGATTATGCTATGTAAATATTTTTATAGAAATTTAAGATAAAAATTGAAGACTCACCTCGACGTAAAGACATGGTTTTCATGGGTGGTGCTGTACTAGCAGAAATAACGAAGGACCGAGATTCTGTATGGATAACGCGGGAAGAGTATGAAGAAAAAGGTCTTAGTGTACTAAAAAAATTAGGCTCCTATGAATCATAAGAAAAGTCATACACACAAATATAGGCTACAAAATTTTTAACGGCCAATCAAGCGTTTTTATACTTAAAAAAAAAAAACGTTCTTTAGTTAGACTTGCGCAGCAGTTTTATAATTTGTTATATAATTGTAAAAAGGTACTTTAAACGAAGTACTTTAAAAGATTTACTAGCCGTTTGATACTAAACTCTAGTAAACTCATGTATTTTTTGGTTAAATGTGATATTTCAAATAAGATACAACAAAGATAAAAGGTTTTAAAAAAGATACAGCCAAATATCGTGATTTTGATAAAACATTGAATATGAACATTAAGTATTAATTTAATGAAATTAAATTTATAACTGTCATTTCAGATTATATTTGATTAAAATATTTTATCAATCAGGTATAAAAAGATGTTGCATTTAATATGTATTTATATATAGCTCTCAGGTAAATATTCAACATATCGATTAATTTTTATTGTTACTTACGTGTTACCTGATGAAAACTTCATTCCTGTTTCCCTGTATTTGTCAAACTCTTCTCTAAAAAGTGTAAATATAATTGAAATTGTAAAAATGATTTTATTTAATGTGAAACAATATCTGCCTTTCTATTATAGTAATATGTAAAAATCCGCAAGAACAAAATCGTCGTGTGTGACTTTATATTTAAAGTCTCCATTTCGTATACATACATGTTATGAAACATGTTATGTATGTTATACATACATGTACGAAATGTGAATTTTACGTACTATAAGTGAAAAATAGCCATTAAATCTGTTGATGATTGAAAACTGTTTGAAATTAAAAAGTTGGATTTTTATATATGGAATGTTAAGATATTTACAACTTTTTCTTATTCTAAACAATAGTGCATAGAAGATAGAACTAGAATAAAAACAGCGATGAAATTTTAATTTTACGATTACACGTATATTGCAAAATATTTTACAATACAATGATTTTAATTTAATTTTCATATTATCATACTTATTTGTGCTTATTTTTCGTAACACATTTACATGCACATCTCTGCGAATGTTTAATCTCAGTTCGTCTATTACCGTTCATTATAACTTATACGAGAATATATATTATAATTATTATTTCATGCAATATATAAAAAGTCTTACGATACTATTTTTACGTTTAGATATACTTTTATACAACGTGTTGTAGAGATAACATTTTTTGTAACTACTTTCTACTTTTATCATGTTATTACTTTCTGTAAGAAGAAATATTTGCTTCTCTCTTTAAAAATAGTAAAGTTTGTAAATTATACATTTATTATACAAGATTTAATTTAAAAAGTATACATTCTCTAGAAATTAAAATTTTTTAATTATAAAATTATTTGATAAAATATATATATAAATCAAGAGAGATGATTTAAAGGAATTTTGAACATTGTGTGTGTGTATGTGTGTGCGTGCGTGTGTGCGCACACACACGCACACATAGAATATGATATAAAATAATTTCTCAGATTTTGTTTAATTGACAGAAATGAATGTATTTCACAAAGAAATATATCCCACACTTCTTCGCTTTTATTGTACAAGATAAAAGATTGATGAACGGCATGATGTGGAAACAATTGTTATTTTATAATAAATCTACAACAGTCTTTATTACGTTTTTCTATGTGACTTTTATATCGCATAGCATGTACATATTTTTATGTACGAATAAAAATAACAGTATAATTTGATATCATACAATTCAGCGTTTAATTAGATTGTAATGTGTAACAAGAGATAAATGTATATGTATTCAATTTTTGTTAAAGATTTGTACAATTGGATTATGCGACAGCATATTACTGTGTAACAAATAATAGGCTGTTATTCGAAGAGAAAAAGAATAGTCCGTAAACAGTGCTGCAGCCACGCGCGTGCTTCAATCCTTGTCCAAGTGTAACGTAACTGCTATACACTCGTATCATAAATGGCTTTTAATATAAATGGTTTATCTCCCCACTTCGCAAGCTATATAAGTCGATCATCTTAAGCAGATAAAAAAAGAAAAAGGTAATATACAAAACGGTTTCACTTACACCGTAATGGCCGTTCTACAATTCCTACAGTATGTAACAATACAAACTTGTTTTTACAATAATCACGTGAAGACACTTCGAGATAGTGAATAAGGAATTGGATGGAAAACATTGAAGTTTTTTTTTTTTCACATATTTAGAATGTGATTGGCTTATTCTTGCATTGATCGATACAAAAGTTCGTGAAACGCTTAAGGAACTTTGGATATTCTCTCTTGTAAACGGCCCGCAAAACGGAAGCTGGAGCCCATCCACCTGGATTTACTGAAATTTAAATCAAAATATAAATGTATGAAAAAAAAAAAAAAGATTTTTACACATATTCTCATGTATAATAATTGAATAATTTGATACAGAAAGCAAAAATAAAAGCTCTTGAAGCTTTTATACAGATTTTAAATATTATATATTATGACAATTATATAATAAGAGTGATTAAATCATTGAGTAATTAAAGAGTAATTAAATTAATAAATGTACTAACCAACTGAACAGTACGTTATTTTACACGTAATATTCTCCCTTTTTATTTCCTCCTCATCCTTTGGAGGATCAATAAATGTTTGGCATACGAGACAAACCGTCAAGTAGACTCTCACACATTTACCCGCATTTGGCTGCAACGATCATTTCGTTTAGTAACCCGTTGGAACTTATTCGAAGCAAAGAAATTTTTGTATTAAACGTAATAAGCAAGCATACCGGATGATCGGGATGTTCAGTACTGTGATTGCAGACTATCCACAGATCCTGAGCGTCGCGATCCTGATCGTCGGACACGCGACGTATGTGCGACCAGAACAACGCGTCTCGTTGGCTCGCTGGCCAGATACGTTTGTGCGTTTGCAGAAATAATAATGTATCCTTGGAAATGTTTTCGACAATTGCCATGTCCTCCAAAGTGGCTTCCCAACCGCTTCTATATTCGGGACTGAAAAATATCTCGCAGACTTCATGACCGGTCACTCCTTTGACTACGTGACACGCTTTGAGAGGGTCTACAACTAGACCATCGGCCTCCTCCTCCCGCCGATACATTCGCATATCACCATCTTCGGCGAATAATTGCCAACCACCCGCTCCGCCTACGCCAAGCCGAGCGTAATGCAGCTGTTCCATTGTAATTTTTTCTATCTACAAATTGATAATACAGAGTAATAAAAAGTTAGATACAACGCGAATATTTACAAATAATTAGCAATTACTTTATATTTGGAGTTAACATTTTATTAGGAATTTATTTATAACATATCCGATATCACACAATATTATAATTAATTGATGTTATAAATTAATTTTTTAATAATCAATATATAAGTAAAATTTTTAAGTATTTCGATAAAAATAAAAAAAATGTAAAATATAAAAGAGTTGTAATTACTTCTGGCCAAAGCCTGTGCGTAGATGCTGTTATAGTAGGGGATGACAAAATTGAGACAGATTTTTGTTTCAAACGATCCCTTAATTGATTCTCCTCCTCGATTTTGTCCAGACCCGTCTCAACGGCATCGTAAAATTCTTCATCACAAAGAGCACTATGCGGACCTTCCTTAAAAATAAAATTTCAAATGTTATTGAAGAAAGTTATATGCACATTTATTTTTTTGGATCTTAACTCATAATTCACTATAAACATGAACACATGAAGAAATTCCATGTGCATTTAAATATCACTATTCTATATACAATTAAGGCTACGTTTGAAGAACGCGCTATTAATACGAATGAATGCTAAAGATAAAACGATACAGTAGCGCTGATAACGCACGTTTCGAACACAACCTAAAACTCACATTATCAAACCTGATCTTTAACTTCATTTTTTAATATTAAAATTGAAATGATATACACACAATGTTCATTCTTTGGAGGTCTGAAGAATACTAAGCAGGTAAAACTGGTAAAAGATTTCCAAAGTAGTGACCTAATTTATAATTGCGAAATATAGCCAGAAAGGCATTTCTCTTAACTTTCTATCACACAGGTGCTACTTATGTTATCTACAAATTTGATATGATGTCATAACAGATTTATCATAACTAAAAATCTTTATATGAAAATATTTGAGACAATAAAAGATAATTCATAATTCAAAGAATTAAAGAAAAAAGTAATAACTAGGTATCGCGATCATGAAACTTTTTCCCCAGGATGAAAAGTGAAAAATTTCTCCATTAACTTTAATAGTAAAAATTTTCACTTTTCATCCTAGGGAAAAGGTTTCATGATCGATACCCTGGATTTGTGTGTGTGTTTATATAACAGAATGTTTCAAAATTCGCGAATCAAAATATTGCAATAAGAAAATTTGTGAGGAAATAAGCATATAAGTATTTGCTGCGTGCGCGCGCGCATGTGTGTGGGTGGATCGTTCCAAGCAGTAGTTTTCGCAACATTAAGATTGAAAATTACCGTTTAATCATAATCTATAATTGGCTAATTTTTTAACATTTATATCTCAAAAAACTACTGATTGACATAACAAATGATAAATTGTACAACTTTTTTTAATTTACTTATTGTAGTATTTTAATTTATAAATTTTTCAGGACACCTTGTATATATGAATAGAAATAAAAAAAAATTCCGACAACTTTTTTATCGTCAAAAATATCAACATGAAATGACAGTTACCTGAAAATGGATAATAACAAAATGTAAAAATATGTTGGACTATTTCTTTTAAAAGCTACTACAATGTTAATGACTGTATAAATGATAATTATGAATCGGCTGTTAATACGTTATATATAATAATATAGTGAACAAATAACTTGAGCAAATACACGATGTCCATATATCATAAGCGTTGGAAATCTCACAATTGTTGTACAAAAAATATTTTTAATTCTTAAATTTTTTACTTGCTTTCTATTTTATTGTTGTACTATATTATATACAATAATATATTATAGTAGTGTGTATACAATATACACTTACGTATAACTTAAAAATTCTACAAACAAGAATTTCTCTAAATAGAAACTCGGGATGACGCATAACTTTGTGTGGAAAAGTGATGAATTCGATAGAACTCGGATCGAATTCTGACTTTTATTCTATATGTTAAGATTTCTTTACATCGTGCTTTTCGACTTTAAAAATGAATACTTCCATTTAAATAGTGATACAGTAAGGTTGTTGCAATATAAAATTGTAACTTATTTTCGGAAACAACAAATTGGTACATAATATAGATAAAAATAGTACACCGTGGTGAAATCAAGAAAAAAAAAGAACCAACCTCGTAATCGGGACCTCCGTGTATAACGACTCTAGGCCTCGGAGAGCCGTTATGATGCATAGCAACTTGATCTTTCAGAGCTTTATAGAGTTCTTGTAATTTTCGTTTCTTTTCAACTTCCTTCTCCCATCTACGGCGCCATGCATCCTCTCGCTGTACCATTAATTCGACGCAATGTTGTAGGGTTGCCAACACTCCTTCGCTAGTCGCTTTAAATGTTATCGCTTCCCCTTTAAAATCCACCGATTGTTCGGCTGGATTAAACATTGTCTCAATTACCTTTTCTGAAATTTATCACGACAAAATTAACAATTATATATGTTAACACTTTTTCTATATGCATTTCATATAATAATTACAAATTATACAATAATGTGTATTTAAGATGTATTGTGCATTATATATTTACATCATATGTTATAAATTTATTCTAAATATTTGGAATCAAAGACAAAAACATGTGAAAAGAATTTACGTTAAAAGTTATTACCTTCTTTAGAAGTATTCTTGGCATTTTCTGCACAATTATCGAAATATTTTTGCAGAGTATCGATCTGCTTGAACAGAATGTCTCTAAATGTTTCAATTTCGGCCAACTTTTCCTTCAATCCTCTAATGCCACGTTTAGTAAGACTACTAGCACTCGTTGTCGATTGTGTATTTGATATGAGCGAAATGGCACTACCGTGTCGTTTGAGACTATTCTCGCTTCCATAACCAGACTCTGACTGTTAGCGACAAATAAAAATTCTTAATCACAGTGCACATATTTTTTCGACAGAATTTTAATTTTTACTTACAAATATTGATCAAATTTCAAACATACGATAAAAAAGATTACAAGATTTAAGGCAAGAGGTTTTAGCATGTATTATTAAAATAATTACATAACTTATATTAATATAAGTTATATAATTAATGTAATATAAAAAAATAAACTATTATATATTATTATACCTTATATGACTTTAAGACATCTACCCATCGCTGTTTTTCTTCTGGATTATTTGCCCTTAAATACCAAACCAAGCAATCGTTCACCGACACATCAAATCTACATTCATCAAACTGATGTGCCTGTTAAACAGATAACTTAATGTAATTATATATTATCTTCATTGTTTACGTCATTATGTTTACAATGTTATTCGCTAAGATATATCTATCTTGCACGACCTCTCACCTTGATATTAGCTTTATACAGACTAATCGAACCACGACATCCGTATCCACTGTCCTGCTCGGATTTGTAATAAGACAAAGTACCATCTTTGAGTACAATAAATCTAGTTTGCCAGCCATGTATGTAATTTGTCCATTTGGATAGTGTACCCTGAAGCTCCGGAACTATGACTCCGTCAGAGTCGTCGTCGTCGCCGTCGATCTCGGCATCAACAATGCACTCGGTGTCCTCATTATTGAGGCCCCGTAATGTGTCCACCACCTCATCGGCCATTCTCAACGGGTTTCGATTGCGACGATTCACGATTTAGTGCTCGGCTGAAAGTGCACTTCCTAACATTGCCTGCGAAGCGAGCGCAGAGTTATGAATATGGAAAGGCCGTTCGTGAAGATAACGGCTCCAGTCCAGGCGGGAGGTGGAACAGAGTTTCGCGGCCGCGAGACGGATCAACGTATTGTCACGATGAGACAAGACGTCTCAAAACATTGTCTTTGACAACTGTCGTACATAACCTGTACGCAAAAATACCTTATCAAATGAAACGTCAATCGAGGAAAATGCTGGTATACTACGCATACACGTTAAATATGACGGAATAGAGGTGGGGGGGGTCGGGGGGCGGGCGAAAGGAATGATATCAAACAGCTTTATCGCAGGCTTCAGTCGTAGTTTATACGTACCTTCGCTGCAGAGAATAATACGCACTTCATACCACGAGGGAACGTCTCGTGGTGCGGTTTGACGTGATCATTGGTCACAGTTTATAGCTACTCACAGCGACCGGTGTGATTGGAATTTTTCCAATTAGCCAACCAATCAGCAATAAGTTTGGTGTTGAATTAAATCGAATTTATTATTAAGATCGGATTACAAAAATATCCAAAAATTTCCTTTCTAAAAAAAGAAAATTTTTTAAAAGCCAAATTAAAAAATGCTAACTGCTCAGGTAACTCGTCTAATTTAATCTTTTTTTTTATCTTTCAAATGCGCACCGTCGACAACGCGATAAAAATGGCGCCAACGCGCAGCGACATCATAGATTTCAAACACGCTGAACAATCCTCTTTTTATGCCTGTTTCCTCCAAAGTGGTTCAGTTCAAAGTTCTTGTGAACTGCGTTAAACTGTGAACGTAGTTTAATTTTCGATCAACTTATTTTGTTTTCCTTCAACTTTACCTTCATTCCGTGCTAATTCAAATTGTATTTAGTAACAAATGATGTCATCATGTGATTGGTGGACAAGTCATATGTCATAATTAAAATCTAACCTAATTATAGTCATAAGTCGTACAAATCAATCATGGTTTTTCGTCGTCAATCGATTATTTTAACAACAAACTCTTCGTTGTATGTTAAAAAGTGTCTTGTTGCTTATATATATAGATCGATATAATTATTCTTTATTTATTATCAGATATTAGGATTTATAAACACGGATACTCGAGAAGCAAGAGAAGCAATTTCTAAAAGTAATTTCTTAACCTAATTTATGGTATAAAATAGATATTGTATAATCTCTTGCATTAAAAATATTAATGTTTAATATTAGAAGAACGCTATTTCTGTTTAAGCGAAATCTTATATTAAATTTAATATCGTCCAAATCATCAAAATAGTTTGTGTTAAATCTTTCCGGTCTTCTGTCGACATGTCCCAGTAAAAAATTTTTCATAAATGAATATACATAAATACACATATATATATATAATATGTATAAACATTCATAAAAACATACACAATATAATAAATAAATATAAAAATTAATAAAACAAAGTTCTCGATGTCAAAACAAATAATAAATATAACAACATGAAGGGCATATAACGACCGAAAGTCGTCGCAAGGATACAAATAAGAAATTAATACATCAAGAAATTAAATTTATAATTAAAACTGTTTAAATTGTGTACATGACACGTTTCGGCTCCTGGATTGAGCAATCTTCAGAAGTAATTAAAACCCTTGTATCGCAGCGACAATAAAATTACAATGTGTTCGTATGTTGCGATGATAACTGAGTGACACTTTCCGAGAGATCAAATTCGCTGACAGAAGATTGATAAATCGAATGTTGGCAAATTCGATAATCTAAACAGTACTCATATTATTGGAACATGTCATGTACGCAATTTAAACAATTTTAATTATAAATTTAATTTTTTTATGTATTAATTTCTTGTTTGTATCCTTGCGACGACTCTCAGATTTGCCCTTCATATTTATTGTTACAAATAAATGTTTTTACCGGATTATATCTTCATCGTCGTCGGATGATGATAAAATATTGTAATATGCTATAATACCTGTTTTTTGTACATATATATATATCAAGACACTGCACATGACCTTAAAATATTGACTTTTTGTGTTAGCTTTTATTTAAACGACGTTAATCGGCCGAAAATGATCATTCACGATGAACACCGATGATTCAATCGCTTTGAACTTCTAGAAAGTTGGTGGAACGTAAAATGTCTTTGATCAAAGTTTAAACTCGGTTCAAGTTTTAAACTACTTTGAAGGAAACGGGCAATAGAGTTAAATACATACCGAACAAGAGACCGAAAATTTGAAATTCCGGTTTGGAGTTTTTCAGTAAATAATTAAATATTGCGCATCTTTCGAGTTATCAGAATAATTTCTCTTTCGTCAAATAGAAGATTTAATATTTTAATTTTTTTTACTGCAAAGTATCAGAATATTTTATGTGGTACTGTAGTAAACTAATTCACTTTCTCGATAAAAACAAACTTGTTCAACTAGAGGGATGTATTCTCTTGATGGATTAAATAATAAATATATGTTAATATACTCTTTACTTGGTAGGATTTGGATACTTTTGGTGACAAATAAAATATGATTCTATAAAAAAAAAACAAATATTTTTAACGATAAAATTTAAATTGAGAAGACAAAATTGTCTAAATTTGTGTGTATATATGTATATATATATATATTTTTTATATGATTATTATTATTAGTATTAATTTATACAAATACTTTAATTATATCCTTATGATTACTTCCCACATTGCACATTCGAGAAGTTCTACATACAAGAAGGGACAAATCAAGAGACTTATCACTCGCGCACGGCTTCAATCTCCCGAAAATTGTCATCTTACCGTTATCTTAGTTTTATGTTGAAAGATCTTATATTCCTTTTATCGAGACATTACAATTATTATATCGTATTTTGAAGGACTTTGAAACTTCGGACTTCTGGCTCTCAGCAAAGTAAAAGTTATAATAATAACGTGAATCCTTTTTTTAAATAACTTAGAAAATATGTAAGTTCGGTTATGGCTAGGTGTGTCACAGATACCTTTGATCGTTGCATGGATTCTTTAAAATCTAGTTTAATAGAAAATGTGTCACATCCCTCCTTTTATCCTTCGACGTACACGTTTAATTCTGCTTAGTATATACACGGCGAGGTGGTACCGTCATCTCTTGGCACCAGATTATTTAAATTAGGCTACCGTTTCTTTCTTTCTTTAGTCGATCATTGGGCGTAAACATATCTTAAGCGTTAACAATACTTCGAATAAATCCAAAGAGAGAATCGCGAACAGCAGTGAAGACATACGGTCCTCTGATCTTTTTGTATCTCTTACACGGTGCCTTCTATCGAACTGTGCGATCAGCGTAGAAATGTATAGCTGCGTTCAACAAACAAACTCAATGAGAGCTTAAGAGCTTTATTCCCGAAAAATATCGCATAAGAAAGTACCATAGTACAATATTCATTACGTATGTATATACAATATTATAGGTTAGTATATTCATAGTCAATTTCCTTTATTTAAAACCATTTTGAGATGTCACAAGCCAATCACAGAGTCATATTGACATTTTAAGACATGATTATTTATAAAATGATTTTAAAATAAAAATCAACTATATAAATAGCGACCATAGATTTTTCGTGTGTGATACAGTTCAAGAATATAGGTCCAATTTTGTTTATTTACTCAGATTGGTTTTCATATTTAGATCTAGTAAATTTTAAAAACAAAAACCAATCATATTAAAAAATCATTGAGCGCTTGTTGAGCGATTACTTCATTTGTTAAACGCAGCCTTATGTATACTTTGGTGAATACAGAATGAAAAAAGAAAAGGGAGCCTTCCGATTGCGGCACGTTTTTGAAAAATACTCTTAGACTAGGAAAAGGATATACTCTTTCATCATTGAATTTATCGATAAATCAGTCATCAATACGGTTAATACTTTCCTCATCAATTTCGTCAAGATAACCATATTTTTGAAATTTAAGTAGTCTAGTCTTTGTCATCGCATAAGACAAGTTACCCTAAAAATCATTTTGATGAAAAAATTCATCTTCAATTTGAAACCAATACTAATATATATGATATTATTACAATCTCTATATCATCAGATTCAAACAATGATTGAGGACAAGGCGATGCTAAATTATTTTTTGTACCGATAATACTCAGATATACAAAATCACACCCTTTTAGTCTTTACAGTCGCATCTCACATTGTCTTACTACAAAATAAAAATATTCTTTGTCAGAACTGAGCTACTTATAATTATCCTTAATTAATACCGCATAACAATTTCATATAAGTTGCATAAGACACAATTGTGCCTTTTGTGTGTGTATATGTGCACATATATTGTGTATACACACACGCACACATGCACATAAAAACATGTATATACATATAAATATATAAATATGTATATACATGCATATATGAAATGCTTTGCAAATTGCTAATAGATGGTATTTGAAAAATAAAATATTACAATTGTGATCCAATTTTAGATCAGATTTCATGGACTACAACTGAGAATGAAGCTAGTAATCAATTAATTATACCTCAAGAAAATCCTTCAATAAAGTAACACGACGCTTTTCTGCAATGTCCATTTGATTTTCTAAATCTCCCCGATCTGTTGTTTCCGCTCGTTCAATCTTCCACGAGAGATTCTCTATTTCAGCTTCTAATTGAGCTTGTTGATATTCGAACTGTTAGCAAAATAATACAATATTCATTTGTACATATATTTTATCAAACATTATTATCTTTTGTTATTACTATTGCGAGATCTTACCAGTTCCTTGCGCGGACCAGATTCCATGTAATAGGCGTACGGATACGTGTACTGCAAAGTGTAACGACAACGCGCTAAGAGCGACGCCGCCTCAAAAAGATGTTGCCAGTCTATCCACGTGCCACTTGCGTTCATCACCTTATTGTTAATTCTCATCTTAATCCCCTCTAACGTTTGCTCCTCCAACTTCAATGATTTGCTATGATTCTCCCACTAAAAAAGCACAAAGTGTCGTGAAACATAAAAAATAAAGCAAAAATTACAATCCAATGGCTACATTATTATCAAGTCGAACTCACTCGCTCATAATAGTGAAGATACTTCTTAAGAGCTTCTCTCGCTTGTGCGTGAACACTCTCATGCGCGATATTTGGATTCTCCTTGTAACGCGAGCATTCGTAATATTCGCTACCATGTGCTTTCCAATCTCCAAGGCACATCCAGCAAAAGTCATGCTTACAATTGTAACATTGCATGTGATTGCAGCCACCGTTCTTCTCTATGCAGATATGACATTTTGGACACTGCACACAAAAACATTTTACAATTACATTAAGCATTTCTCGTCGTGCCTCAGAAACTACTCTACAAGTAATAAGAGATAATCACATCTTTGGTATGAGCACTAATGTAATTTGCCGTCTCTGAATCATCCGCACATTTTGTTAACCATTTTTTAATTG